AGAGCAAGCTGAATATCTGCCTCGTGAGAAATTGACTGAGAAGCGTGGCTTGGAGGCATTGTAGGCAAAGGTGTGGTGGGTGCGCAAAGTTGGTAGGGTGACCGACTCGCTTGCCTGACCGACTCGCTTATCCGTCACGTTAAGTACTATAGGACATACATAGTGTGCGACGCAGGGAATCTTCGGACGGCTCAAGTCATGAGACCACGGCGTTCAACAGGGCGATCAAGTACTTTCTGCTCCTGTCAATACAATCCAGTCACGTCTCAGGCGTACTATGTTGTAACCTTCGAAGGATCATGCCACGCATCTAATCCGGCATCCGTACAGGCCTTACTTGGCAATGAACAGCCAAAATCAGCACTACTGTATATACTAGGCAAATTAGAGTAAATTTTACGTAGAGTTGGATGCCGCTCTCCCGTTAACGAGATGTAGCGCTTACATTTCAAGGCACCCCTAATTGCTCGTTGTAGGTAGATACGCAGGTCCGCTGGGTAAAAGGAATTCAGGTTCCTCTGCTCGAGGGACTTTCGGCTCTCATCCAGCCTCTTAAATCTGGTGTCGAAACAAGCGTGGTAGCACACATTTGTTTGTCACGTGATCGTTGTTTGTCACCATACCAGCTTGCGCCATGAATGCATACACTTTTCCACCGCTAAATAGTACATCTTCTTCTATCTCATGGAATGCATGTCCACCACAGTTCGGCTTGCCCCCAAGCCTAGAATGCGCAACATTCTCGGTTCCTATTGATTGGGACACGCCCTACGGCGAGCACTTCGACCTTGGACTCGTCCGGCTACCCGCAGCGCCTTCAAACACAACATCTAAAATCGGATCTGTATTCATCAACCCAGGAGGTCCCGGTTCGCCAGCATCATCGCTGGTATCGCTGATAGCGATAAGCGCATTCCCGGGCCAAACCCCTCAACTTCGGCCTGCGTTTGATATCATCGGATTGGATCCACGTGGTACTGGTCTGAGCCACCCGGTAAAGTGCGACCCAGCGATTTACGCAGAGGCTGTATCGCTATTTCCTCAGACAGAAGAGGAGTACGAAGCACTTGCCGATAAAAACAAGAGGTTAGGAGAATCATGCCGTGAATTAACGGGACCACTGCTTGAACACGTCGATACCATCAGCGCAGCAAAAGACCATGAAGCTGTTCGCGTGGCACTCGGCAACGAGCCGATGAATTTTGTTGGGTTATCATATGGATCTCAATTGGCCGCACAGTACATCAGTTTATTTCCGGACAATGTCCGCACGCTTGTTCTTGATGCCATATCACAGCACTCGCAATCTGAAGCCGCAGACATCTTCATCGGCGCGTCGTCTTACGAACTTGTTCTAAACCACTTCTTCGCGTGGGCAGCTACTGGTGAAAACTCGCCACTTCGCGGGCAGGACGTGAAAGCGATGTGGCTAGATCTACTTGCCAGCGCAAAGAAAACACCGATACCCGCACTATCCTGCGACGGCATCAACTGCCGAGCAGCTGTAACCGACGAAGACATCCTCTTCAACGCGCAGGGTCACCTGAATTTCCCTGGGGCAGGAATAGGCCTAGGCGCGTCCTGGGAGCTTCTCGCATTGGCACTGTTCAATGCTTCGCGCGGTGATGCAACGGCCTTGTCCACATCATCTGCAAGCCCCGACGTCTTTCCCCGGCTGGCGATTCAATGCCTGGACTGGGATCGCTCGGATTCTCTTGCAGAAGTTCAGGCCAAGATGGAAATGGCTAATGCGTATTTTGGCCTTAACAAGGGCGCAAATCACAGATGGGGAGCGCAACACGCGTGTATCGGATGGCCTGTTCCAGTGAAGAATCCGCCGCAGAAGTTAGACGTCAAGTCGGATACCACTGTGCTCATGGTGACGAGCACGGGAGACGCTTCGACGGGGATCCCGTGGGCGGTAGGTATGATGGACGAGATCAAAAACTCAGTGTTAGTAGTCCGCCAGGGTGACGGACACGGAAGTTTGCCTCTGGGTGGAGAGGCAGGCGACATAATCGTCGAGTACCTAATCACTGGCGAAGCCCCAGCACAAAGGTTCTTGACTACGAAATCATAAAAGGCAGCAAAATAGATGGGAATGGATACACATTAACGCTATGAACGAGTTCAATCTAGTTCATCGTCCGTGACGACCATTGAGAGCCTTGCAGATAAACATCTGACAAAGACGAGACGTGAGAAAAGGGCGTCCGTAAACGTAGCCCAAAGTGTGATTGAAAACAGGGGTAACAAGAATTGTAAGTCAGGGTATATACAGCTGCTCTGCCCTAGTACGTTGCCCAAAGAAGTTCCTTCACGTGCAGATTTACAACAGAAGAGCGGCGACGGCACCGAGACCAGCAAGAGCGCTGCCGACCTTGATGCTGGAAGCAGCACCAGTGAACTCGGGGATGGGGGCACCAGTACCGGTGGGAGCAGCGGTACCAGAGACGGCAGGAGGAGCACCGCTGATGACGGTGGAGGCCTCAGGAACCAGAGGAGTGCTGGTGGGGTAGACAGCAACGGTGGTTGGGTAGTAGGTAGAGCCGCTGGAGGGAGCAACAGGAGTGTGGCCCAAGGTCCTGAAAGATGATTAGCAAGTGTTTGGAGGTACTGTTGGTATGATATAAGACTTACTTGGTGACGGTGACGGTGACCGGGGCGGCGCAAGTCTCGCTAGCAGCAGGGTACTGAGCAGCAACAGCTGCGACGAGAGAAGCGGCGATGATGGTGAAACGCATTTTGCTTATTGTTCTTGTTCTTTGTTGGAGAAGAAATGGGTATAGAACGAAAAGAGTACCTGTACGTGAGAGAGAGAGATGCGTTGCTGTAAAGAACGTGGTTGTTTGTTTCAAAAGAGTGACTAACAGTAGTGAATACTATTGATTATGTGAATGTTTGGATGGTAAGAAGAAACAAAGGTACCTATAGGCGAGGCGTAGGGCCGCTCTTATACATGCCGCATATTAACAGTAGATGAAGGAGACCAGTGGATTGATGTAAATGGGGCGCACCAGCCTTGCTTGGGATCGACTGTGCCGGTTCATTTCCTCCATGTCGGGGTATGGATTGGATAGAGCATCATTGCACGAGCCACGGAGCGCAGGGTCAAAGGGTCGAAAGCTGGGGTGATAACGGAGATTAGGACGACGATCCATGAGCGACAGAAACAATGGTTGGATGGTGTAGTTTCTCAGTGGCGGGACCATGGTGGAGTGAACTGCGCATTGCTCCATCTACGCTTGTAGTCATGCGTGCTTTGTGGCAACCTTCTTGCCATCAGTTTCGACGTTACACAATGCTATGTGCAGTGCATAGGTACTATTGGCCCTCGTCAAACATGAGCGGTGTTTCAAAACATGGCGCAATTATAACCAGCAACCAAGACATGGGCCTGTAGATAGATTAACCCCTCATCTTGATAGGAGCGGCACGAGATTATCACGCGCTTCTTGGCCTCCATCTGAGACGTTGGTGGGGGCCTCGCGCTAACCCGATTTGGTCTAATACATTCTGAAGAGATATGAAGGTACCGTTCGATTGCGTACACTGTCACAGTACAGTAAGACAACATCCAAACAACGGACTACCGACGTCATGTCCGGCAACGAGCGGTAGTGTAGAAAATCCCCATAAGCAGTTCACGAGTTTGTCGGAGAGGCAGCAGATCAAATATTTTGCGCAACGCAGAAAAAAATTTGTATTCGCTAAACTTGGCATGGTTATAGTCTTGGGGTATTGCTCTACTAATAGCATCCTCAGCCATGTCGCCATTGCGCCGACCCACTTCATGCGAGTGTCCAAGTACACCTGCAACGCCAAAAGTCGCCCTGAATCCCGTAGTCGACTATAGAGACACTCCACCTCACTTCACCCTTCCCATGATCGGGTCAGGAGGTGCATCTTCTGCAATAGGCTCTGCAGCCTTTGCTTTGACTGCATTCAACATGCCCCTATCGAAGTCATCTCTAGTCCTCAACACAGCCTCGACCCAGCTGATACTGACATCCCGGTAGGTAGACTTGAACTGAACATAAGCAAACTGCACCTGGGACTTGTCGCATTCAAGCAAGTTGAGGAATTCTTGCACAGCACGCCATCGCTGCATAATGTCTGCACCCTGCTCTCCGTACGACCTGAAAAACTCAAAAGCAGTGAGGAGATCATCTTTCATCTTGGCTCCGAACTGGTCCGTTCTCTTAAATTTTGCACCCTTGTTGCGTACGGCACCTAGATACTGTACTAGCAGCTCATCGGCAAGGGAATCGATAATCAGGTCACGCAGTGAGCGGTGAAGCTGTCCTTCGAATTCCGCAAGATAATCTCTGAAGGTCAAAATGATGGATGCCATGTCTGTCCTCGAGTACCACTCTGGCGTGAAGAATTTGGTAAAGATGGGCTTGAAGTCCGTCAGGAAGATGAGTTCGCAAAAGGTTTGTATGCAGTGCGACGAAATGTCAATGTATCCGTTCTTGACCTCGTCAATATTCTTGGACAACTTGTCAATCATGTAATCTTGAGAAACAATGGGCGTTACTTCGCGCTCAAAAACACTTAAGAATGAAGCGCGGCCACTGCCATCTAGGTCGTCATCGATGCATATGATTTGATCGTTTGCGAGCGCAACAAGCCATTCTTGGAAGACCGGCACTCCATCCCCATCAAGCGTAGGGTTGGCACCGACATATTTGGCCTTCTCTTCGTCTATGAGCTGGGTCCATATGCGCTGGCGTGAAACCAAAGCGCGGAACATGGCGTCTACCACACCGTCAGCCACGTCAGGGCGCTGACTGCTCGCTGCGACGCCAATGTTTTGGCTGAACAGCGTCCAAACATCTCCCAGCGACCTTGTCTGATAGATGCCGTCGGGATTGATCTCGTATGCAGATCTGTCCTGATCCAGGAAGCTTTTCTTGTCCTGGCTGTTGATGCGCTCCATGTATTGATCCACTGCCTGGATGATGACTGAGCGATATGTGCGAATCAGCTCAGCACTGCGGTTATCAATAACGTGTGGTTGCAGCTGCTCTTCCGAGAAACCGAGCTTCTGCATTTTGGTGTAGTATTTGTCCACCCAGTTGATAACACCGAGCAGGTACTGTGGTCCCAAGGCCTCGTCGTCCGCGAAACTCATTAGGAAGTCGTGCATCTGGGTGTGGTAAATGTTGGTATAAGTCTCAAAAATCTTCCACTTTTTGGGCATCAGGTTAACCATGCCCAACTTCACGGTGTTGAGGTTGTTAAAGTACCATTTGAAGTACTTTTCAATCTTCTCTGGGTCCTCCATGAACTTCTGTCTCACTTCGTCCATTTGTGCCTTGCAAACATATTCAATCGACGTGATGAACTTCTCCTTATATCCACGAAGCTCCTTGGGACCTTGAGCAATGGATTTGAAGCGCGAGGCAAGGTCTCCAAATTCTCTCTGGGCATCTTGCAAAGCTTTGATCTTCTTGTCCGTCTTCTCCTCCTCCTCGACGACGACAGCCAAGCGCACTACCATGCCATCGTTGCCAGCCTGGACCAGCTCAATCAAGTTTATGCAAGCCTCACCAACATGCCTGTCAAACCACTCGACGACATCGTCCAATCGCGAAAAGAGATCTTGTACTGTGACACCGCTTTCAAGGGTGAGATTGTCGATGAGCTCCGTGGAGCTGTCGCTGTTCTTGATCTGGCCTATAGCCTCGTCACGGATGTCGCGCAACTGCGTCAGGCCGTAGTGTACCTGTAATAAGTTGGGCTGATTGGCGGGATCTTGGGCATCCTCTTCCAGCAGCATCTCGAGGTTCTCTAGGCGCTGTGCGAAGCTCTCAATGTCGTTTCGCATCTTCTCGACCGACTCAAAGTTCTTGTGTGTCTGGGCTACCAGGTTGATGTGCGGAAAGTCCTGGATCATGTTCTGGGCCTCTGCGCACAGCTTGTCAATCTTCATCATCTCCTCCTTGATCAGGTTGACGGTCCGCTGTCCCTCGGTGATGCTACTCATGCCCGATTGGGTCAGCTCCAGCTGCTCCTTGAGGCCATGGCGCAGCTGGCCATCGACGGCTGCCTTCTTGCGGGCGAATTCGGCCTTGAGGGCGGGGATCTTGTCGAGGTCCTCTGGGTGTCGTAGCAGCTCAGCGAGCTTGACTGTCGCGGACTCGACATCGCCCATGGTGCTGAGCGGTGGTGGATTGGGGCAGGCGTGCGCCCATGCCCATGATAGGGTGAAAGTCGCAGGCGGTATAGGCGGGCGGCAGACAGTGGGGGGTGGTTGCGGTCTTGTTGTATGGTGCGTGTAGTTACATGTGTGTCGTGTTCGTGTTGGGGTTCGGAGGTTCGAGGCGTGTGAATGGACGGCTGCAGTCAAGACCTAGCGCGTCCGAGCCCAAGTTTCCATTTCCCCCGGTGCCCCCCCTCCCCACGCCACCACCACGTTGTCGCCGACAAATTACACCACCCATACTAGAAGCCATGGCTGACGAAGAGTTGAACCTTTACGACGAAATCGAAATCGAGGACTGTTTCTACGACGAGACGCTGCAAATCTACCACCACCCATGTCCCTGTGGCGACCGTTTTGAGATTTCCATTTTCGACATGCGAGACGGCGAGGATATTGCGCGCTGCCCCAGCTGCAGCCTGATGATCAGGATTATCTTCGACCCCGTATGTGCCGCCCTTGTTCTTTCTGTGTCTTCAGATCGCTAACATTACGCAGTCCGACCTGCCCCCGGAAAACGACGATGCGCCGCAAAGTGTTGCCATTGCCGCCTAGACTTGCATATTTTCAGTCTACAAGTCACCCGCGGAGACTTCATCTTTTTTTTTCAGGCCCTTGCATGTATTATGGCGTTACATATCACGGTGTTTGGAGCAACATGCGCGCATAACAATTTTGGACTTGTCGCTACTTGGCTATGGACCTCCCATTCCCAAAATGCGCGGCCTGAATGGCGTGCTACAACAAATGTTAGTGACCATTTTCTGCTCGATCAGCGCGGAACCTCGTCATCAACGCTGACATCAACACCCAGCTCTTTCCTCAAAATCTCAGTGAGCGAGCTGCCGTCTCGCAAATATACCCAGTCTCCCATACCGCATCCTTCTTTTTCGCCCATACCTTCTTGAGTCACGACCCAGTCGAAACGCTTTGGTCCAGATATGGGGGAGCTGAGCCAGATTTGCTTGTTTGGGGGTTGCTTGTTCAAGACAAATGTATTGTTTTGGGATGTGACTTCGAGGACGCCAGACTGTTTGTAGCAAAAAAAGAATTAGCAATCAATTCAATGTCGATACATGTGCATAGCACCGACATACCGAGTAATCCACCTCAATGGCCGGGTCATTCTCTTGTGCCTCCTCAAGCCTCTGCTGCAACTCGCCCAGGTAATGGTCTGCGCGCTCGTGGAACTCTTGCATTGAGATGTCGGTTGCTTTGAGTGGCGTTTCTTGGGAGGGAAGCTCTGGTGGCTTTGGGTCTTCGGAGTCAGGCATGATGCTCCGCAAGCCTGCGGATACATGCAAGGGACGGAAGCATGTTGTGTTGGTAGTAGCTGGAGCTCTGCTAGCGATGACGCGACCAATAGGCAATTGGTCGCGAAGCGGCGAGCGCAGGGTACGACGAGCGACCACGCTGGCGAAGCGAGTAGCTGCTGGTCTCATGATGAAATGTGAATTGGATTGTGCACGGGAAAGACGAGTATAAGGACAGTAATAGTACAGTATAGTGTACAATGCTTCGTGGTGATGGAGCAAGCGGCAGGCGCATGGACCCCCTCCTCGTCGTGCTCGCCTACGTATGTTGGTGCTACTATGTGCAAACGTCCCCGCACCTGCAGCGGGCGGGGACTCTCACCAACCAACTGCCACGACTGACCGCCAACCACACCCCATCGCCCATCACCCGTCGCCCGTCGCGTCACCATCATGATCAACGCCGTCCTAGTCTTCAACAATGCAGGACAGCCGCGGCTGACAAAATTCTACACCCAGCTGGTACGAGCACGTGACCTTTGCCGTCACCTCCACCATCATCTGGCTGCTTGTGCGCCTAGCTAAACCAACGACGCGTAGGAAACCAGCGTCCAGCAACGCCTCATCTCCGAGATCTTCACTCTCGTCGCCAACCGCCCTAATTCAGCATGCAACTTCTTGCCGTCAGCCGCTCTTCATGCCGCCTTTTTGGCCTTCTGCGACATGAGCTAATCCCGCTCCAGCCTTCCTCCGCTCCTCGCCAGCAGCTCCAAATCCTCAACTCCTAGCACCCCACACAATGACACGCCCTCGCTCGTAACCTACCGCCACTACGCGACCCTGTACTTCATCGTCATTTCTACTTCTACCGAATCGCCCCTCGCCCTTCTTGACCTTATCCAAGTCTTCGTACAGGCACTTGATGGCCTCTTCGAGAATGTATGCGAACTAGACCTCATCTTTAATTTCGAGACGCTACACGCCACTTTGGGCGAGATGATTGTCGGCGGCGTGGTCGTCGAGACACAGCTTGACAAGGTCATACATGCAGTCAGAGCCCAAGGTAGAGTCGCCAAAAGACCAGTAAATGAAGGAAAGAATCTCGGCGGCGGGGGCGGCGGCGGCGTTATGGGCGGCCTCACATTCGCTGGGCTGGGTCGGGGAGATGGTATTTGGGCTGGACGTTGAAGACCAGGAAACTAGACCCTTTCCAATGCCTACTTTCAACCTCCCACATAGCGACACCTTCCACCTTGGTATTATGCCTAGAATTTTTCTTATCGGATACGACTACAGGCCCGACTCGACGTTCGAGCCAAACGTGCCTGAACACATTTCCACCCTTTGGGGTTACCTTGTGTCCCCAAGGGTTTACCTCTTTGTCGGGGAACCGAGGTCCCGCGCTATTTACAATGTACCCCGAGTTTTGTTTCGGCCATACCAGCGCAATTCTTTGACAGCGCACTTGCATTGTTTCCGGCGGATTAATCGGGGGAGTTTCTCCGATCTGTCAAAACCCCGGTAAACGTCAGGGGCTCGGTAGTTAATCGAAACCCAAGCGCCTAGAATCTTTGCCGAGCTAGGTTTAATGGAAACAAGCTTCAGTCTAATAAAGCCTAGTGCTTTAAGATATCAGCCTAGTGCCTTGACATCTAGAGCCCCTTCATATACACCTTGCGACAGAGAGGAAATGGAGAAGAATCGCTCCAATGAATGGCTACATGTGCTCATTTCCGCTCGTCCTGATTGCTGGACTGTTTCACAGCGATACTAGGCATGCTAAACAAGCTTCCCTTGGCGCACGTACCTTTCTGTTCACAGCAAGGTCTATAAGAGCCGCACTACTTCCACTGCCTTATGAATCAGAAATCTATACCCATCACTCTCTCATTCCAACACCATGCGCTTCCTCTCTATCGTTTCCAGCCTTTTGTCCGTAGCCGCAGCCGCGACTATCGGTAAGCGTGCTGTCACTCCTGGTACCCTCTCCCAGGTTACCTCCGGTTTTGATGCACCTACCAAGGCAGGCTTCTTCATCTACGTTCCCAAGAAGCTTGCTGCCTCGCCGGGTCTCATTGTTGCCATCCATTACTGTGGTGGTACAGCCCAGGCATACTACAATGGTAGCCCTTACAAGACCCTGTCTGAGCAGTATGGTTTCGTCGTCGTCTACCCAAGCTCGCCTCAATCATGCTGGGATGTGAGCAGCAAGAAGACTCTCACCCACAACGGTGGTGGAGACTCCAACACCATTGCCAACATGGCCAAGTGGGCTATTAAGCAGTACAAGGTCGATACCAACAAGGTCTTTGTCACTGGTTCCAGCAGTGGTGCCATGATGACGGTACGCCATTACCCGTTACGCTTCCCAGAATCCCTGTTACAGTACTGACATCAACACAGAATGTTATGGCTGCAGCCTACCCCGAGTTGTTCAAGGCTGCCATCGTTTACAACGGTGTGCCCGCCGGTTGCTTTGCGTCCCCATCCGGTGCTGTTGCTGCCTGGAACAGCGACTGCGCTCAGGGCAAGGTCATCAAGACACCTGCTGCGTGGGCCAAGATTGTGACCGACATGGACACTGGCTACTCCGGCCCCCGTCCCAAGATGCAAATCTACCACGGCAACGTCGACACCACCCTCCGCCCCCAGAACTACCCCGAAACGATGAAGCAGTGGGCCGGTGTTTTCGGCTACAACTACGACAAGCCCCAGAGCGTTCAGCAGAACACTCCTCAGAGCGCTTTCACCAAGACCGTCTGGGGCCCCAATGTTCAGGGTATCCTTGCCGCCAACATTGGCCACACCGTTCCTATCCGGGGCGCTGACGACATGAAGTTCTTTGGCTTTGCCTAAGAATGTGCGCATTTGTCGCCATGTTCATGAAGAACAATGCTTTAGGGGGACAATGAACAGGTTATTTGGTCGCATCACCATAGATACCGTCATCTGAAACCCGGCCTCAGGAAGCTTCGACTGTAAATATTTATTGTTTATCTGAATAGTTCATTATACGCAGCCAAATGCGTCGAATGGCTTTCAAACCCGTACATATACTGAAATATCAACTCGATATTGCAAAACTACTTGTCTGATTTCACATTGTTCCTGAACCTCTTTCCTTCACCAAAACGCAATGTTAGCATTGTAACAATATGGGTGAAGGGGGGTTGTATCTTAGACTCTCTAACCCAAAAAGCCGACTTTTACACCCCATCCAAACTATCAAAACTAAACTTACTGCCCAGCCTCGGTCCCCCAAAATCCTCTCCCTTGCCATACCCATACCCATACCCACCATAACCCATATTATGATACCCCACACGCATCGACTCCCCACTCCCCCTCTTCTCCCCCCTCCCTTTACTCCTCTCATAATACTCATCCACATCTCCCCTCGACCTAACACATCCATACACATTACTATTACTATTATTACCATCGTATCGGCTCCGCGGCCACGCCTCACACACACCATCATACGCATCATACGCATCGAAAACAGACGCTAGCGCCTTCCTTGTTGCATTTTTCACCGCGGAGATGTGGACGCGCTGGGCGTGAGGCAAATTGCGCTGTTGATAGGGGGTTTGGGGGTATGGGGACGTGGGGTGGTAGGAGGAGGAGTACGATGAGGAAGGGAAAGAAGAAGAGGAAGAAGGGGTGGGGGGGAAAGATGAGTTAGAGGAATATGAGGAGGGTGGGTAAGAGGGGGAGGGGGAGGGGGAGGGGAAAGAGGAAGAGGAGGGAGGAGGTGGGAGGATGTGCTTTTTGGATAAGTGACGTTGTAGATGGGATTTTTCTTGTTGGCGTTTGAGGTGTTTGTATTCGTCGCTTGGTAGGCCGTGGGATGGGGAGGAGATGGGGTAGTAGACTGGGGTGTTGTAATGGGGCATTTTGAGTGTGTGTGTGAGCTTGATGTTACCTTGGGCTTTTTTTTCGTCTGGTAAATTAGTTATGTCTAGTCTGACTTTGTGTGTGTCTTTGATTGACTTTCTGATTTGATTAGAGATCAGATGGAAGTATTTTTAAATGTTGGGTTGAGGACTCGGTGGGTAAAATTGAGACCAGACATTGTTTTTGTACTGTTTAAGTGTGTTGGTGGATAATGTTCAGATAGGGGTAGTTTACAGTGTGGGTGGCTGGAGACAGCAGAAGTTTATACATGCTTTGTTGGGTGAGAGAATTTGAGAAAAAAAATTGCGAGTGAAATGGGAAGTTTGAAGTCAGACATTTTTGTGACAATTTGTGAAATTAGATTGATCGCGTGAATGTTCTATTCAGTCTAAATATCTATAGTAGATGCAAAAATATCAAACTAGCTAATTACCCCTCTTAATTCCATAGTTTCGAAACACGCACTTCAGATACTTTCTCAGCCTCATTGCCCTTACTCCTCTCCTCACCAGTGGTCGCGCATCATTGTTTACAACTGTCTTCGTTTCCTCATGCACAGGGACTATGGGTAGCGAAGCGTGCGAGGGCAAAGGATAGTATGGAAAATCATCCTCGTTGATCGTTTGCAACCTAGTCTTAACTTCTGGGCCAAAGATTGGATCTTCCTCTGTTACGGACTGATGCTGTCTACCATGTGTCTCGGTAATCTCCTCATGTACATGCGGCTCGGGCTCGGCATAGAGATCGACATCATCTGGAAGAATATCGCTCATCCTTGCATCTGCAGATCGCCAAGTTCCTCGATCATTTTCCCGAATACTACCTGTTGAAGTGGAGGGTGAATACAAGGAGATGTCTGACGTGTTGGCAGTTCTCAGGGCATCTCCTCCATAAAAAGGTTGAAGTATAGGAGAGTCTGGACGGAAGCTTTCTTCCGAGGGAGTGGGACTGAGTAGGAATGTTTGCTTGACTGGAGATTGGGTTCCTGTCATGCTAGCGAGGATTTGTTTGGAGAGACGCAGGAGATTGGATGGAAATTCCCAACGATCAATGTCCGAGGTCATTTTGAGTCTATCCCTAGGACTATTGTAGGAAGTAATCGATTTGATAATTACAGTGGAAACCCAGCACTGAAACTGTTTGTGGAATGGGTGCTGCGTCAGATCTCAAGATCTCAAGCAGGCAAATTTAGAATTGTGTTGTTGGATCAATATCATCTAACAGATTTAATACTAAATCAAGAATTTCGTATTGAAAAACTCTTCAGATTCCATTTAATACATATAAAATAAGAGAAAGACATACAATTGTTCAAAGACACTGTTAGCAAGTCGATGTTGTGGGAACAAAGGTTTGGATAAGATATGTGACCTGTGTAGTAGAGCAACAAAGAAATGCTCCGTGCTCTGTAAAAGAAATCGCTCGTCAGAGCACATAAGTTGACACACATTGCACTTAAGATTCAATATTGAAAATAAAAAATGTAGTGTAAATGGCTAGAGATTAGGTCTGATAGTCCGAGATCTTGATCGTATATGGAATAATTAGCCATACTAACGAATTGTGCGAACTATGTTCATATTGTATAGAACATCCTTTTTTTTGCCGATAGACTGAATTTGGATTAATGTCACGATTTTCCTAACCAGTACGAAGGGGAAAGAGTGAATAACGGAAATAGCTCAATTCGAGAGTTGCATGCTAGATTACAAAGGATATCACGTGCTGTCGAAAGTATGGGCGGCTAGTAAGCAAAAAATGCCGCAGAATGCGGTGAGAGCATTTGGGCTTATCAGAGCGGTCAATCCACGAGCGGCCGAAAGAATCTGGATCAAGATAGGCGTCGGATAAACGTAACGTGGTGATTAGTGTTAAAGACGAGTGATAGCGCGCTGTGGTGAGCGAGTGAAGCTGTAGTTTGAGGCCGCTGATTGGACAATATTTCTACGCAAAGCTGAAGTGTATTCCTTGGCGTGACTGCCTGTACTCAAGAAGTAATCGCTCTAGTAGCTTCGTAAACCAGAGAACAGAACATGGTGTATACTATAGCTTTGCTTAGTTGTGGACTGGATTTTTCAAAGGTCAATAGTGTAGAATCGTCTCGTCTTAGGAGGCGTCTCATGTGCCAGGTTCCAGGGATGGATATAACTCTCTGTCAAGTACGAGTACTGTCTACTCTTGAATTTGGTCCACCGGACATAATTTCGACATCACATGACTCCTCTCTAGCAATAGCGTTGACTTATGGTGCTATCAATTGACAAGCGTCAGAACCATGACCAATAATTGAGACTCCGACTCGGAATATAGTATAATCAACATGCAAAACCGTCTACTTAGTGCTGTGCAAAGAATCGTGTCTATAGATGTAGACATTGAAACCCGATCGGAATGTCATAGGCAAGAAACCACGCCTCTGTAAATAACGCCGTGTATGTCAAACTCCATTTTGGGTAGCCAGAAGCATCACTGCGTGATGCGTAGGCTGCGATGTATTACATCAGAAAACCGAAGCTCGGGTCTGAGAAATTAACGCCGACTTTTAAGCCCAGCCCTTGCGGCTGTGGACCGTCGCTCTGGCTTGGACTCGTCCTCGCTTTCAGAGGCACCACCATCATCCATGCCGTCGCTCATGGGGTCTGACATGTCCTCGCCCTCGTCGTCGTCCGTCTCTTCGGCCTCGTCATCAATGAGATCGTCATCCGAGCCTTCGCTATCCTCGTCTGAAACGTCGTCCATTTCCATATTCAAGCCCATTTCGTCCGAAGAACTGTCCTCGTCGTCTTCCATTTCTGCGCGCAATCTCTTTGGCGTCGCAGTGGCTCCCTCAACTGACTCGTCGTCGTCGGAGACATAGTCATCCTGGCCTTCGACGTAGATGAGGGCCTCGTCAGCGTCGTCATTGGCGGCTTGGTTCCGTTTCCTTAGGTCGAGTTGGGCCTGAAGCATGTCCAGACGGCCCTTTAGCGACATGAGAGGCATCAGGCCGCTGGAGCGCTCCTTGAGGACTTTGTTGAGTGCGGTGAGTTGCTTGACGATTTGCGGCTGCGATGCCAGATATCCACCGTGGGCGGCGCTGTGTAAGATTTGAGTCAGTGTGCGTGTCTTATGTGCAGTAGACATGTGAAAGCTTACAGTGACCATTGCACCCAGGCCATCAACATGCCTGCACGGCCAGGGCTCCGATGCAGACGCTCGGCCAGTCTTTGCAACAGTGTTCCTACGAGAGGCGATGGCAGCCGTTCTACAGTGGCATATACGGATTCTACATCGACGACCTGCAGACAGGAATCGAGAAGCTCCTTGTCGTTTGTGCGCAGCGCCTGGGTGAGGACGGTGCCGAGAGAGTTTGCATTAGGTGGCGCAAGCGGGCGGTCTTTTCTCGCAGCTGCGGTGCGCTCTGGGTTTGGTTCGAAAGCATCCTCGACGCTGATGATGCGCGACTCTTGTACGGGCTCGGGAGCCTCTGCACGCAAGCGGTCGCCGAAAGTAACGTCTTCATTGTCTTCATCTGCGACGGCATTGGGGGCGGGGGTGTCTTGGTCGACGCTGGCGGGTGCGGAGTGGCCGTGCGCGTCGTCGGAATCGTCATCGCTCTGCTCTTCGGCGCTGCTGATTTCAATGACGTCCGCATCTGCCATGTGGGCATCTGCAGGCCCTTGGATGGCAGCCGTGGCGTCGTCGACCTTTTCAGCGCGCGAATTCTTGAGGCCGATGGTTTTGGCCGTGGGCTTGGCCGTGCTGCCGCCAGCTAGCGCCTTGAGACCATTCTGGCGGGCTGTGGCAGAGGCATGCGGCTGGGCCAACTTTGCCTTCTTTGCGGGCGGGGCGCGGTCGCGCGAGCGGGGGGCTGAGAGAGCGGCGGGCATTGCGGGAGGGGCTCTTGAGGGGTGGGCAGGCGGCGTGGTTGGGGAATGGCAGCGAGGAAGACGAGAGGTCGACGAGGCCGTGGTGCTGTCAGGCTGTAGCAGCACGCGCAGAGATGCAAGTGGTCGCAAAAAATTTGGAAAGAGCGGATTAGCGACCCCTGCACGCACGGGCCTCGGTGGCAGGGATCATGGTACGGTGAAGAGCTGGCCCACGGGTGCTTGATGGCAACGCTCCACGGCGCGGGCAACAACAGCACCAAGTGTCGCAGCAATTGTCGCCGCCTCCGCCGCCGCAGCAGCAGCAAAGGGCGGGCAGAGGGGAGATGCAGCGGTGCACACACGCAGCGGCGGATGCAGTGGGCGCGGGGCGGGCTGGCGGCAGGCTGGGAGTTGGGGCTTTTGCTTTGAAGCGTCGAGGCAGAGGCAGAGGGTGGTGGTGCAATGGCCGGCAAGGACACGTACCCCGTCCAGGTTAGTGGCAGGTCAGGGGCTCCAGCAGGGCTTGGCTCGGAGATGGAAGGGCCGGGCTACTTAACCCCAATGCCTCTCCTCTCGCGTCTGTCTTCGACGTTCTTGCGTCCATTGTCCTGATCTGCCTCCAATCACTACGCGCCTGCTCCCCATCACCCTAACCTTACTCGCACCCCGCCACACACGCAACCCCTCGCCCAGGCTCGCCCTCGCTTCCCGCTCCCACTTGACTGACCACCATCACCACACCCACCCACCCTCTGTAATACTTGCGACTTTTAATAATTCTTCCCAACACCCCCCCGGCCGGCCTGCACCTGCACCTGCACCGCGCTAGTCCTCACCGGCCGTCCGAGCACCCAGCCCGCCGTCACCATCCCTGCGCATCCTCCATCGCCAGCCATTGTGGTGTTGGATTTGGTTGTGCCTGTGCCTGCGCCTGCTGCTCCGCTCCCACGCTCGTCTTTGCCTCCAGAACCAAAGTCGGCCGCCGTTCCGCCTTCACCTCGACCCGTCGGCCTCGCGCCCCACCCCAGACGCGTCGGCCTTCGCAGAGGCTCATTGACCGCTGCATAACGTCCGGCTTAGCTCCGACCGCCACGGCTCTGAATCATCTCGCCGCCGCCACTTGGTACGTAGTCACGTGCGTTTCAGCCTCCCCAACATATATGCTTGTCGTGCTGCCCCTCTGTTGTTGCTCGCGTTGCTCCCCACGCTAGTCTCACATCCCCCGCCCCACCTCTGCTGCACACGCGCCGGCATTGCACATCACATTGCACCCACTACGCCCGTCGCATACACTGTACTCTACCATCCTGCCCTCCCTCTGCCACCCTGCCACTCCCTGGCTACGCGTCGAGTGCGTAGTCGCGCACGCGCATGCAATGGCTGTCGCTAACAGCCCCAGATTGGCAACGCCTCCAAGCAGTCCTGCTTCCCTGTCAGCCGCGCGCAAATCCAACTTTCACTTTCATGGCCCTATGGCAGTAATGACCTCGCCTGCTGTCGACAAAACTTCCTTGGACCTGAAGGTGAGCGCTTTTGCGCCGGCAGACGCCATGGCAGTCGACACCGAAACAAACGGGTAAGTCACCCTCTGCGCCTCCTTGCCCCTGCCTCCCTCACCTTGCGCAATGTCGATTAATGCCTGGCAGCGTGCACGACGTCCTCTTTGACGACCCACAAACCAACGGCAAAGTCGCCGACGACCCGGCCCAACCGAAACCAACCCTAAACGGCAATCATGCAGCCCCCGACACGTCAGCGCCTGCCGACGAGCCTGCCATCGAGCCCACGACCAACGTCTCATCTGGAATTGATGGTATCGCACAGTATCTGCCAGACAGCCAGCAAGACATCAACTCGCTATTTGGTGACTCGGACATTGGTGCGACCGTGACAAACGCTGTTGAGGCGCCTACATCGGACGTGCGCGACGAGCCCGCACCAGCTCCACAACCGCCTACAGACACCCAGGCGACAAGCGACAGCACGCAGCAAGTACCCAAGACGCAGATTTCGCCCAAGCAAGAGGAGCCTGCTCCAGAGAGCATGGACACTTCTGCCGATGCACCCGAGTCCACCCTTGCCGAGTCTTCTGGCGCGCCGACAAAACCAATGGACGACTTGAAAATCCACACTAGTACGGATGACGTTACTGCGCCTGCCCCATCAACGCAATCGCCAGCCATCGTAGACCGCGAGATGGAAGATGCGCCATTGTCCGGCAAAGTCCGCCCGCGCGAAGACGATGACGATGACGTTCCCGACGCAAAGCGCACAAAGACCGATGACGAAACGGCTCCCCAGACCGAAGTCAAGCCATCCGCACTGCCAAGTCAGCCCGAGCAAACCAATGGTAACAGCGCTACCCCGGGCCCAGCATCAGAATCTGCGCAAGAAGCCTCGGGCGTCCACAAGGCAGTTGATTGGGAGGAATGGCCCACCACGCCCCTGACCGAAGCTCAGAGCAAATTCTTGCTTGAGCGGATACGGAATACTAAAAAGATCAAGGTGTCACTAGCGTTCAAGGATCCTGTCGATCCTGTAGCGCTCAACATCCCAACCTACTATGACGTTGTCAAGCATCCTATGGATTTGACCACCATGGAGGCCAAGTTGAAGGAGAAAAAGTACAAGTATGTGAGGGACTTTATGGCAGATCTTGATCAAATGATTACCAACAGTGAGCTATTCAACAACAAACAGCACCCGGTCACGCAGGCTGGATACAATCTGCGAGCCTACTTCCTGAAGGGCATGGGTAAGATGCCTCGGGGCGCTGCTGCTGAAGAGCCGCCCAAGCCAGCAAAGACCAAGAAGCCGACGGTCAACACTGCGCAAAAGGCCAGACGTGAGTCGCGCGTTGCACCGCCCAACGTCAAGTCTCCCGCTGTTCCTACGCCAGCTGCTACATCACCACAGGCTGCTTGGCCGCTGCAACAAGATGGCACTCCGCTAATTCGTCGTGATTCATCTACTACAGATGGCCGACCAAAGCGCGAGATCCACAGACCCTCCAAAGACTTGCCCTACTCGAATGCTAAGCCAAGACGGAAGAAATTCCAGCAGGAGCTTAAATTCTGCGAATCTGTGATCACCGAGCTTATGAAGCCAAAGTACAGCACTCTTACTTACCCCTTTACCTCTCCGGTAGACCCTGTCGCTCTCAACATTCCCTCGTATCTCAAAATCATCAAGAAGCCCATGGACTTTGGCACCATTGAGAAGAACCTCAAGAACGGTGTCTACCAAAGTGCAAAGGACTTCTATGCCGATGCTCAGCTCGTGTTCCAAAACTGCTACAAGTTCAACCCCGAAGGTGACGCCGTCAACCAGATGGGCCACAAGCTCGAGGAGCTCTTTGAGAGTCTGTGGAAGGAAAAGGCAGACTGGCTCGCCCAGCATGCTCCTCCTCCCGAGCATTCTCCTAGCGATCTCTACTCTGACGAGGAAGACGACGAGGATGAAGAGGATGAGGAGATAGACCAAGCTCAGGCACAAGCCCAGGCCCAGTTTATTGCTATCCAGCAGCAAATCGCAGCCCTGAATGCGACTGCCCAGCAGCTTCTGCAACAGCAGACGGGCGCCAAGCGTGCCTCGCCCAAGCTACCCGGCAAGAAGAAGAAGGGCGCTGGGCAATCTGCAAAGAGGAAGAGCCTGCCTCTGGCGGTGCCACCTCCGGCCAAGCCCATCAAGAGCGCGCCGGTCAAGAAGGCAAAGGCACCTGCACCTCTCAGCTTTGCCCAGAAGCAGGAGATTTCCGAAAGTATTAGCACTCTTGGAGATGCCGAGATGCATCGAGCAGTTCAGATCATCCGAAACGGATGCCCGCACCTTGCTAGTGTCAATGACGACGAGATGGAGCTTGACATGGACGAAATCAACGACGACACGCTTAGGGAGTTGTTGAAGTTCATCAAGTCTCTGCGCGGTCCGAAAGGTGGTGCGGTAGCCGATGACGATTTCGAGCCACCAAGACCAGTCTCGAAGCAGACGGCGAGCCGGCCCAAGAAAAACAAGCCCATGGGCAAGTCGGAGCAGGAAGACAATATGCGCAAGATCCAGGAGAAGTTGCAATCGTTCCAGGGCGGTGCATCGGGATCCAGCCAGTCTCCACCTGGTAAGTTGTCAGTGCTTGATCGAAGCAATCATCCACTAACCTATGCAGTACACGATGCATCCAGCGACGACGATGAGTCGAGCGGCTCTGAAAGCGAAGAAGAGTAAACCTCTTCGGCACACCCTCTTGTTTCCGCGTGACTTGCTCGCCTGCCATGCTCTGCCGTACCCCTGTTCTGCCCTGCGTGTTCGATGATTGGTCCAGCTTCATCCCTTCTCTTCCCTGTATGAATGAACAGCCTTGAGCTTCTTGGTGCGGTCGATCAGGTATCGCCACGGATTACCAAGGGCTGAAGCGGAATGTTAGTGCGTGCTTTAATTTCTGCGCGTCCTCATTCACTCACCCATTGCACGTCACCCTTCTCATACCCACATACACAACGTTTGTATAGTATTCTCTTCGCGACCAGATCCCCCCCTAGCGGTACCTTGATGATGGTACCCATGCCGACAATGGATTACGAGTGACGACGAGGTTTGTCTTTTGCGCTGGTCCAGCTAGTTGAGGACATGGGCTGCTCGCTGTACCCAGCATTTGGTGTGGTGTGGTTGTAAAGACGGAGGACATTTCGAGTAGTCTTTTTGCTGTATGAATACGCTGCGCGAGGCTGGCAGCCAAAACAAAATGCAGATAATTTGTACAATGCGTCTATCGCCGTGGCCATTGGTGCGTGATGTTGCATGCTTCTTTAGTCAGGCCTTTATCTTGTTGAGTACCCGAAACTGGGTCGCACCCAATGACAGGGTCGACAGGCCGAGGATAGGGGAGAGATGCCGACGTGTGTGGAGGGCGAGTGAGCAACCCAGAGAAAGGCGTCGTGTAGCAATCGTCGTGTATTGCTTTACTGCTCGCGGTTGGATGCGTTGGATGCCCGCATGAGTGTCTCGTCAGGGGGGGGGGCGAGGGAGTCGTAGCCGGTGGTTGATCAGGCAAGCCAGTACCGAGGGGTTACGGGGTGGTGCAAAGACCAGTCCCTCAGGACGGTCGTGTGTAGCGCTGTGCATGAGGAGTGCATCCTAAGAGAGTGGGGGAACCAAATACTGTACGCTTTGTCGCTGGCTCCGCATATGCGTCGTGTAAGCGTCGTGTGACGGCAGCGGACAAGCGGCACCAGGGAGAGGGACGTAGGGCTCGACAGTCGGGGATGCACGCAGAAAACAAAGTTGGGTTAGGAGAAGCAGGGGCGATAGTCTGGACAATTCCAGAAAAGCATAAGCTACCATGTAGTGAGGGAGGGGGGAGAAAGAGAGAAAGAGAGTGTGTTGTCCGGGCATAGTGGCTGTTCTGTCTCTGCAAGCGGAGGTGGAGGGTGGGGAATCAGCGGGTGCCCTGCCTTGAGTGTGTGCGTGCGAGTGCTGAGCGGTCGGCGCGCTAAGCTGTGCCTTTCGCGAACTGCCCATGTCTCGCCCAAAACTTCGAGCTCCATAGACACGCCAAACACGACGCGCCCAGCTATATCCACCTTTCACGCCACCTCCTCACCCTCCGTTCAACCTACACCGGCCCTCGTTTCAGCATCCCTGTTTCACCTACAACATAATTGAGTGTCTGCGACTGCCAAAATGACAACGGTGCCGGTCAGCGAAGTTAAGAGCACACATGATCGCTCCTCAAGAACCGCGGCGCATTCCCACATCAAAGGCCTAGGCCTATCAAGTGATGGACGTGCGACACCCTCAGCCGGAGGCTTCATCGGCCAGGCTGCAGCTCGAGAGGTACTTGGTGACCTGCTGTTTACTCAATCTTGGCGCTAACCCGCCCAGGCATGCGGTCTGGTCGTCGATCTTGTCAAGGCAAAGAAGATGTCTGGTAGAGCTGTACTGCTCGCAGGCGGACCGGGAACGGGCAAGACTGCACTTGCATTGGCCGTAAGCCAGGAACTCGGCACAAAGGTCCCCTTCTGCCCCATTGTCGGCAGTGAGATCTACTCTGCAGAGGTCAAGAAGACAGAGGCACTCATGGAGAACTTTAGAAGGGCCATCGGTGCGCATCTCTTTCCCTCTTCCTCTGGCCACGCTAACACTCAGCCATAGGTCTGCGCGTCAAGGAAACAAAGGAAGTCTACGAAGGTGAAGTGACCGAGCTCACTCCAGAGGAAGCCGAGAATCCACTTGGAGGCTACGGCCGCACCATCTCCCATCTCCTCATCACACTCAAGTCTGCCAAGGGCACGAAGAAGCTGCGACTCGATCCATCCATCTACGAGGCCATACAGAAGGAGCGCGTCCGCTTGGGCGACGTCATCTACATTGAAGCCAACACGGGCGCTGTGAAGCGCGTTGGGCGATCAGACGCTTACGCGACTGAGTTCGATCTCGAGGCAGAGGAGTATGTGCCTATACCAAAGGGCGATGTGCACAAGAAGAAGGAGATTGTTCAGGACGTTACTCTACACGACTTGGACGTTGCAAATGCACGGCCACAGGGAGGCCAGGACATTATGAGCATGATGGGCCAACTCATGAAGCCGAAGAAGACGGAGATTACAGAGAAGCTGCGATTAGAGATCAACAAAGTTGTCAACAGGTACATCGACCAGGGAATCGCAGACCTAGTACCCGGTGTTCTCTTCATTGACGAGGTTCACATGCTCGACCTCGAGGCTTTCACCTTTCTCAACCGTGCGCTCGAGTCGCCCCTCTCGCCCCTCGTTATTCTTGCCTCGAACCGTGGCAATACGCACATTCGCGGTGGTACGAACCTGCCTCCTTCGGCCCATGGCATCCCAACGGATTTACTTGCACGACTCCTCATCATTCCTACACATCCGTACAGCCCGGCAGAAATTAGCTCCATCATCACGACGCGCGTTACGACGGAGAAGCTCAACATCTCACCAGCAGCAAAGGACAAGGTCAGCTCATTGGGTGAGAAGATCAGTCTGCGGTATGCGCTGCAATTGCTAGCGCCTGCCAGTGTACTGGCCGAGGTGAATGGACGGGAGAACAAGCAGATTGAGGTTGAGGATGTGGAGGAGTGTCAGGATCTGTTCTTGGATGCACGAAGAAGTGCAGAAGCCTTGGGACAGGCAAGTGGGTATATCTCGTAGGTGCTATGTTGTAGTTTGTACAATAGCCCGGGCGTTTGGATGCAGAGGACGGTAGGCGTTCCTCAGTCATAGGGAGCAGTGTTTGTTTGGTTTATATTATCAAAAGGCTAGACGATATTTGCACTGGATAATACGATGTTACGGCACATGAATTGTACCATGGCCTATCAAAGAAAAGGAAGCAGAGTGATGATGCATGTCACCAGTGAAAGCGTAATGTGTAAATACATGGTACGGGTGAGCAGCCTTGAGGAGATGTTGGTATGTCTTGATTCAAGCACGTTACTGATGGTGGAGATGTCGACTTGCAAGGATGACTAGGTGAGATTTGATCTGAATGATTACAGAAGATGTCATAGACGCTGATGCTAGATCTACGGACAGGGATGTACTCGAGCTATGATTGCACACGACAGTAATAGTATGTAGGGACCGTTTAGACTGTCGGGGTATTACGGAAGGAGTTCAAATGGCAAGAACAGGCTCTGCCAAGGACACGCGACTTCCGTTGCCACTCAACGGCTCCGATTGGTTCCGTCGGCTATATGCTCAAAGCTACATGAACAAAAGCTGTTTGCCTTCCAAACTCTTCGCAACCACGACCGGCTATACGTACATATATATCAAGAACCTCGGTGCAAGTCACTACTGTCGCAGAGATCAAACTACACCTTTCTCGTTACCTACTACAATGCCTATCGCGATGCGCACCTTGATGCGCCTACCTCGGCAGGTGTCCAGGCGCTCGTTTGGCATGTCTGCACGCACTGCACAGTCTCCGTTTGGCTCTGGACCTTCGCCCCCACGCCTACCCAAAGAGGAACAAGAAATCTTTGAGAAATTGCAAAAACAAAGCACGGGGGCCTTTAGCACGCCAAGAGGAAGCGAGGAAGAAGCAGCGCCGTCGTCCAAAGCAAACATTCGCATGCAAATCAATCAATCGCCAGACTCTTCTTCTTCGTCATCGCGTCCGCAGATCAACCAGTCGCCAGACTCGTCAGCAGAGCCCGAGATCAGGTTCGAAAATGGCAAAGAGATCAAAAAGGGAGAAGAGTTTCATCCCAACATGAGAAGAGGGGCACCGCCAGAATTTGAGGGCGATGTCAATCCCAAGACTGGAGAGGTGGGTGGACCGAAGAATGAACCATTGAGGTGGGGACACACGAGCGACTGGAGCTACAATGGAAGGGTGACTGACTTTTAATCGCGCAAAGCCATGAAGGATGGAGGACCTGACAAATGACCTGATGTGCAGGATGTAAGTAGATATAAGTAAGCGTAGTATTAATTAGTCGATAAAGCTATTGTCATTCATAGTTGGGAGCAATGCTGAGCTGAGTCACGAGGTGGTATGCTCGCATACCTAAAGCGTACACATGTCCGTGCTGAAAGGTAAAAAAAAAAAAAGTCAGCCATCAGTCTGTATAGCTCAAAGAGCAACGTGAGGATGGAGATGCACGTGTGACATGCATACACGAGCCCATACGAAGGTGTGATTGACGTGGCGGCGAGTAGAAGAGCGAGTTCCAGAACGTGGACACGAGCGGGAAATGCTCCGGGAACGGGGCGTTCCAGACGGGGGGTCGAGTAGGTAAGTACACACGAGAAGTTATTTTGGGAGTTTCTGCCAATAAGCAGATGAGCAGATGCTATAGTAGGCGAGTCGCTTGGGCGGGGGGTGCTTGGTCAAAACTATGGCATTTCTGCGCAAGGATGGCAGTTTGGAGAGAGGGATTAAACTCGACGCTTTGTTGCTTGTATAATACCTCAAGGACGAATGGGCGCGCCCGGCGAGTATGACATGCGCGCCCGTTTCATGCTAACGGCATAGGGGGAAGGTAGCGATGCAGAGAAAGCCATGTGGCGCAGCGTGAAGCCGTGGCTAAGCATTGGCTAGTGGCATAGTGGCTGCCTTACCTGCCCTTACCACGATGGTCTGGGCCCGTGCCCCCTTTCGGTTCTCGGGGTCCACGAAAGCCTCTTTTTCTCTCTCTCACCCACCCACATACGTACGTACTTCCCATACGACCGGCCCTTCCACACGCACTCTCTCATCTCCCGGCCGCTTCGGCTTTCGGGCGCGTATACAACAGCACTCTGCACACTTGAAATGGCATCTATAGCCGCACTCGGATGCCTGAGTGTTCCTGTTACGTTTCAGGCAGCACAGCAGCACTCGCCATGTGCACATTGGCGAAACACTCAACTCGTCTCGCCAACAATCCCATCCCTGGAGCGATCATGTTTTTGCTTCAGGTCGCGGCTTGGGCTGCAGGTCCCACATGGCGCCCATATCAGCCAGCCAGAGTCTCTGTCAGCCGTCTGCTGCAGATCTCTCCCACTATCTGCCCTCGGAGTAGCTAATGCGTCTTCCTTCCCTCTCATCTAGATCCCACACCCCACCCGCCTTTATCCGCTTCCCCCCTGAGAGCCGCCAGAACGTGAGCATGAACTATTGAATCCCAGCGCTCTTGACAAACGCAAACTATGTTGATGACGGATGCGTGCTCTAGTAGTAGTCGTCTTACTGTGCAGTATACGCATCCCGGCCTCTCGTTGGTGCTCGTGGTGTTTTCTCGGCGTAATTGAACTGTCAGCTCACGCTATTTGTTGTCGGTACTTTATCCCAGCCTGACACCATCGGCCCTGCAGCGCCTAACCCAGGAGTGCCTGGCTGCTTCAGCCTCATGCACACAACGCGCAACAAACTGCCTTGTCACAACAACTCACAACCCCCCGGCTCTGGCTCCTGATTCCGGCATCGCGGATTAGCGCGCCGCTGCCACGACAGGAACTGCCCTTGACGAGATGCTCCGTTTTGCATTAGCGGAGCTGCGTATGGGCGCCTCGACTAGTCGAGAACGTCCATTGCCTTTGCCCATGTGCATCCGACTACAAAGTCCCCGGCTCAGCCACCCTCGTGTTCGTGTGTGCCAACGCCAATATCAAAATAATCCGTGCCCATGGTATGTTGCATTCACTATAGCGTCCATCTGAAATATCACCCCCCCGCCAATGCCTTGCTAATGCCTCGCTCACTACCAGTCTCTTGGTCACAGTTCCCCTATATGACCCTCTGATGCTGTCACCCGCTTTCTTTTTTGCCTGTTTCTTCTCTCCTATCTAAAAACATCTACAACTCCCAGTCCCCCTGCGCTATAGCATCGTCACCATCCCTGGGGACCCGCGTCTATTCGGCATCATTGGCAAGGATATCGCCGAACACGGGCACCTTATTTGGGATATCCTTTGTCTTTTGACTGGCCTCGCTCCCTTTTTTTCGCGACACAACAGCAACGGCAACGACAATGGCAACAATGTTGCGCCTGCTGCTTTGTGTTGCCTTCTTCCTCCACAGCGCTCTTGCCCTTGACGAAGTCGTCGATCTTGGATATGCAAAGTACCGCGGAAAAAGTATCGGCAATGGCGTCATGCGCTGGGCTGGTATGCGATTTGCCCGCAGCCCCTCGCGAAAAGAGGGTCTACGATTCGCTGCTCCACAAGATCCAGTCAAGGAAGAAGGCATCGTAGATGCGTCATCGGTACGCCATCATCTTACGTCGGATTTTGACAGGCAAGCTGACAGAAGGATAGTTCGGACCCTTGTGCATTGGAACCAGGAGCGACCTCAACGCTGAGACTGGAGGAACTCATTCTGAAGATTGCCTCTTCGTTAATGTCTTCTCACCCAGCACAGCAAATGACACAAGCAACCTACCCGTCTATGTCTTCATCCAGGGCGGTGGCTTTAACATGAATGGCAACGCAGACTACAATGGCGCAGACCTGATTGATGCAGCCGACAATGGAATCGTCGTTGTGAACTTCAACTACCGTGTGGGTCCATATGGTTTCTTGGCTTCAGATGAGATTGCGACAAACCAGAACTTCAGCTTGAACAACGGACTCAAAGATCAGAGGCAAGCCCTCAAGTGGGTACAAGCTAACATTCAGAAATTCGGAGGTGATCCTAAGCATGTGACGATTGGAGGCGCAAGCGCTGGTGGAGGCTCCGTCGTGTTCCAACTTACAGCCTATGGCGGCAAGGACGAGGGTCTCTTCCATGCTGCTGCTGCCGAGTCTGCAGCCTTCCCATCTCTACGTGACGTCAAGGATAGCCAGTGGCAATTCAACGAACTCCTTCGCGAAACAGGTTGCAAGGACCTCAATTGCATGGCCACCATGGAAACTGTCCAGTTCCAGAAGGCTGTGCGTGCACTACAGAAACCCTTTCCTGGCGGCGGTGGCCCACCTGTATACTTCTGGAACCCCACACTCGACGGCGATTTTATCAAAGACTTTACGTTTAACGAACTAAGGGCCGGTCACTATGTCCACGTACCCACCATTTTCGGCACCGCCACGCACGACGGCATCAACTTCACACCCCAGAACGTTGTCTCGGTCGCCAAGGCAGAAAGCTTCTTGATTGATAACTATCCTGGCATGAAGTGGAGCACTATCAGTCGGATTTGGGGCTCTGACACTGCTATTGCCGCGGGCAACAATGACCGCTGGAGAGCGGTCACGGCTGACATCTACGGCGCAATTCGATACGCCTGTCCTGGACTCAACATTTCCGCTACATTTGCTAGCGATAAGGAGCACTCTACATGGCACTACAGGTGGAACGTTGGAACAGCGTCGCACGTTGGCGAGTTGTTGCCCATCTGGAACAATGCTACTTCTGCTGCTGGTGTATTTGTGCAAGCTTACTGGGCGTCATTCATCAGGACCTATGATCCCAACAAGTTTGCGGCAGAGTTTCTTGTCGGCAAAGGCTCGGAGTTGAAGAGTCCTAACTGGGAACCATTCGATGCAAAGGATCCGAAGAGATTGGTTTTCAACGATGACAACAACGTAGCCATGGAAAAAGTTTCCGAAGTGGAGCAGAAGAGATGTGACGACGTTGATGCTCTAGGGCTACACTTGAAACAGTAAGTCGTTGTCATGTTTGTTTTCGGGGAAACGCAAACGCTAACGGACATTACAGACCCACAGCCAACGGCGATAGCTCTTCTACACCTGCCACTCCTTCTTCACCTTCTGCCCCCGCCTCTTCCGCAGGTTCTAGCTCTGGCTCTGGCTCTGGCTCTTCCGCTGGATCTTCTTCCGGCTCTCCCTCCTCACCTCCCGCCGGCTCCTCTGGAATCCGCAACGCACCATTTTCACTAACATATTTGATTTTTGCTTCTATTACACTGGGTTCGCTCCAGTGGATCGTAATTTGAACACGCACGCGGACTGCGATAATAATATACACTATTCATACCTTTCGACTCGATCGTCAGTGTCTTTTGGATTAAAATCCACGCCTTTCCCTTGGGAATCTGGCACCCTCTTACCCCCAACTCGGATCTGCAGAGTCCATATGAAGACTTTACTGCACCCGACCGTTCGTATACGCACCAAGAGAAGACAATGGCTATTGTCTAGTACAGCAAGATTGTACATGTTGGTTTAGAGTAACACTCAACCGCTGAACTCGATGATTTGCGTCGAGAGTATACAGAATGATGAGGAGAACGAAGAGAAAGCAATGAAAGAAACATTGCTAGAAGAGGTTTGCATTAAATTTCCCGGAGCTCCGGATGCGAGGGCTACTTTTGAGTCAAACAACCCTGTCTTCATTTGTTCGAGGTGTAAGAGTAGTTCGTACTTGGAACATTATTGGGGGGATAGCTGCGGTTCATCGCAGGGCTTGGCATCACTTTTCACCAAAAGTGGTGAGGTACTACTGTAACGGAGGAACATATAATACATAGATGGCACTGCTAGTGCTTATGGAAAGCATCTAGAATGCATACTGTGCACGCTCGAAGTAATAGCATTTTTTATATTGCAGTCATTGTGCGGTTATTGTGCAGACATATCACTTCTACACTGTAACTACTTGGGTCTATAATATGTGAATTTCATTTTCTCTATGCATCCAAGTTGTGGAAATACTCTCATTTATTCAGTAAAGGTAGTCGCCTGCAATGTCTATCCCACCAGGTGCATTGAAGCGGATGAGTAGCAAAGATCGTCGAGTTGAGGATTGGCTGCAAACAGCAAGCACCTCAGACGCTGCTTCCTGCTCTAGTCCTACCATGACTTCACGAGAGTGCAATGGCTCACTGACCTTGTTTGCACCACTCGATACTCACCCATTGATTTCACTCGGAACTAACAGCACTGCTAACTCTTGTGCAAACAACCACAAGCGTCAACCTTTTGCCAGACTACAATCCCACGAGTCTCAACCGCCATTCATGGCGTTTCCCATAGACTATACGCACAAGCTGCCGCGCTACTACGCCAACACCCTGTCGAAAGAGGACAGGCATACCCTCACTTATGGCGAGAAGAACCACAACCTCAAACAATGGACAGGCCGGGATCTGGTCCGCCATCACGAGTCCCGCAGGAATCTTATTCCCAATGTAATGCCGAAAGTTGAAAAGATGAATGCACTTGCAGATATAGAGCACGGAGAACAATACAGTCAGCGTGCGATGGCGGCGACGAAGGCGAAAGTGAAAGACAGGGCGCTAGACAAGGTGCGTGGAATACTTCGCATACCGCGTATCAAGATTACCACTGACAAAGGCAAGGAACAACAAGAGTCTCAGTCAGCTAACGCCCACCGTTCTACTAACTCAACCCCCTCCCTCTTCCCCGACAATCCCGTAACCTCGCCCTCATCTCCACATCACCCCCGCCCCAGCAGCAGCAGCGACTACTTCTCGCACCGCCCCACGCATCGCGCTTCCTCAAGCAGCCACCACAACCACCACCGTCGCATATCTCCCCTCGCACTCTCTTCCGGCCCGCCCTCCGACTCCTCGGTCCGCGTCCGCAGCCCGCTAGCCCATCAAGTGCAATTTCAGCCAAACCCAGATATAACGTTTGATACGTTTCTTGCGCCGCACAAGTCCGGGAAGGGCGAGGTGCTGCATGAGGCGGCGCCGGATAAGAAGAAGTGCGCAGGAAAGAGGCTGAGTAAGATGCCGTCTATGCCGTTGTTGGGGAGACGAGGGGAAGATTGATTAGAGAGTTTTTGCGTGGGGTTGAACGTTTGATGGGGTGGGGCGTTCGGCTGGGATGTTTTGAGATGACAATTGCTGCTGCTACTACTGCTACCTACTTGGCGCGAGATATGTGGAATGGGCATGTACATGGGAGGGCTGTGTTAAGTAATTTATGGGTTAAGTTAGACATATAGAACTTGGCTGCGACAACACATTGGAAACTTTGATACTAGTGTAACGCCGCGTGGAACCCGATCATTCATTTGTTCCGTTTCTTGTTTTTTTTTTCGTGAATGCGAATAATTCATGTATCCCATGTAGTCGGTCAAGAAAAAAAAGAGGTGGGTTGTCGTTGGAATTGCGTGTGAGGGCGATACTAACCTGACCTGGGAAGTCAGGCACGGCTTGCCCGATTAGGGCAACTATTGCATGCAACCTGCGGGTGCGGGAAGCAATACTTAACCTAAGTATCACTAGAAAAAATACATCATTCTTATGATAAAGCACAACTTTAGCTCTTCATACACTACATTCCCATTAGATTATTTTCTCTAAAACCCCTTCCCCCCTTTTCTAAATTTCAAAAACTCGAGATTGGAAAAAAAAAAAAAGAGTGAGTAGTCCCCAAGTCCATATACTTACCGAGACTAACTCTTTTCCTTGGTAGTGTCTTCCTCCTCCTCCTCTTTCCCACTCGTCCCCCTCACCATAATCAAAGGCGCAGGCCACGAATTCATCGCTCTACCCAAAGGCGACAATGCCACCGTCGCAGATTTCCACACGTAAAAAAAAAAACTTTCCCTTTCCCCCTTTCTTCCCTTCCTCCCCCCCCCTTCTCCCAAACCAAACCAACTCTTCTAATCCAGAACCCAAACCCGCACCACCAGTACCAGCACCAGCCCCACAACCCTAACCTCAGGCTTCTACAAAATCACCGCGGGACCCCCCAAACCCGCATCCTACACGTTTGAAGAATCAAAGTACGTGCTTAGCGGCCAAATCGACGTGTTGGATTGTGCAACGGGCATTACGCATCACTTGGTAGCGGGGGACTTTGCGTTTTTCCACGTCGGGTCAAAGGTGGAGTTTTCGACGCGGGGGGAGGGTATGGCGTTTTATGTGGTTACGAGGGGGGTTAGGGTTGAGCATGCGGGGTTGAAAGGGAGACAAGAGGGAGAGAGGGCCAAGTTGTGAAGATGGTGGAAATGGAAGATGCTTGGGTTTACGGGTGGAAAAAAAAAGAGGGGGGGGGGGGGGGGCTTGTTGAAAATAACGGACTGTCGAGTTGATATTGTTTGATATATATATATATTTTTCTCTCCAAAGGTGAACGAGGTAGGGGAATATCCTAAATACCAAAGTTTGATTTGAGGTTGGCGAGGAGAAAAAAGGGAAGGAAAGTAAGGTCGAGGGAGAAACAGAGAAAAGAAGAAAGAAGAAGAACATAATTGTTACACCCACCCTCCCCCCCCAATTCATGCACTCATACAACTCCCCCACCAAAAGTCACGGCGCCGTTAAACCAAGAAGGAAAAAAAAAACAAGCCGCTAACCAGAATCTAACACACATTTCCCACCCTCCCCTTCTATCACACACACACCACCTTCCCAGAACAAAACAAATGGATCCAAAAAAGAAGAAGGAGCAGAAGAAGAAGAGAAAAAAAACAAAATCAAGCACCAACACCGGGAACACTAACACCCCCAGCCGCTAAATTCAACGCACCTCTACTCCTCGGCCCCACAAACCCTTGTCGCTGTCGACCCGTACGCCCTCTACCTAGCCAATTGTACTTGAGTTCTTTATTCAAGCGCCCAATCTTTTCCTGCGCATCATCGCTACTCTGCAGACTAACGAGTACGGAGACGCATTGGAGCATGCGGCCCACAGTCTCGGTAACTTTAGTGCTGTCCATAGGTTGTTGGCGGAGCGCAGCAGGCGGCATGTTTTGAGTGTGCGAGGTAGGCGGGGGATATAGATGGGCGACTGTGGGGGGGTGTTGTGAGGGGTTTGAGGAAAAGGAGCCGGCGGAGGTGTTGGAGGTTGCACGGGAGCGGGTGCTGGCAAAGGTTGAAGACGTGATGCTTGTGGTTGATTCGAGATAGCCGCCGCTACTTTGGCTAGTAGAGTTCAGACTACTCAGTTGTACGTCGTTTGCGCTTCCGGCGGTGCCAGGACGGGTATCGTGGGGTATAGGGGAGGGCGACTCGAGACCTGCGTTTAGGTTTTCTAGCGAGAGTCGTGAAAAGATTGCCATAAGCGCTTCGTAGCGCGGTAAAATGACGATATCGCGGAACATGAGAAGGGTCATGCGGCGGACTTCAAGTTCGCCGAGAATGGGTATATTCTTGTGATTTGGGCTCTTGGTGTTCATTTCGTCAGGGAGCATGACGCCCCAGAATTCGGCCGCTTGGGTCGATGTCATGATGCCAGAGCCTCTAAACTCCATGTCCAGAGGGAGAAAAACGGCCTGGAGAAAGGGCAGTATGGTGGTGAATACAACAAGCCACATTTCGACGAGATGCGGGATTAACCTATCGTCAGGGACATGTCGCAGGGTTTGGTCCAGTGAGCCAAAGCCGGTTTGAAGAAGCTCATTGAGATCTTCGATAAGAATGATAGGAGAGCGCTTGTGGATACAGCGCTTAATGTGAACAGTGACTAAAGCGTTGAAGTCTTCAACAGGAGGCCGTGGGTCTTCGCCTTCAAATATCAACAAGACTCTTGCTTTCAACAACGGCCACGCATCGTCCGGCGACAAACCCTGTATACCAAATGCGCTCCCCAAATGAGACATTTCCGACGTATGTGATAGTGCCTGTCCAGGGGTAGAGAGATTTGATGTCGTCGTTATGGTGCCTGCTAGCAATGGCCACTCGGACCTTTCTATGCTGAAAGACTGGTTACGCTCTCTATGTGGAGGCTCCAACTGCGCATCTAAAAAGGCCGCCGCCTTTTCTTCCTTCTTTGCTCGTCGCAAGTGACGCCCGCCGTGCCTTAGGTCCAAGCCCGTGACCGAACTTGCAAATGTACTCGAGTGTCCTGGCGACGAGGGCGCTGCGAATGAATACAGGGGTTCCGGCGCACTTGGGTTAGTAGGCTTGGAATTGCTGCTGGCTGACGAGAGTGGAAGAGCAAAGCTGTCTCCATCTTTCAGCTTATGTTTTTGCCGCGACAAGAAATGGTGCTTGTGCTTTTCCTCCTTTCGTTCCGGCAGGGAGTCGTTTCGCGGAGGAACAAGAGTCGATGTGGACGCGTTGGCCGACGAGTAGAGTGAAGCATTGGCGCTAGTTGTCGTCGAGTCGATTAGGCTCGTCGTCGAGCCGGCCATCATCATGCGGTTGAGGGCCTGGGAGCTATGGATGCCAATGCCAATCTTGCCAGGCGAGGGTAGGGCCTGGTGCTTACTCTCTCCGCGGTTGTCGACCTTGATGTTCTTGGGCTTGGAGGAAAACAGCTTCATCTTGCTCTTGCCTTCCTTTGGCTTCTGCGAGGACAGATCTGGTGTCGACGCGGGCTTAGGTGAGGCATGGGCCTGAGCCTGAGCCTGGGCCTGGGCCTGGGCCTGGGAACCCTCGACACCAGGAGAGTTGAGCGGGCTTCGTGGAAAGGCAGCATTCGCGGCCGTCGTGGCCGTCATTCTACTTGCGGCGACAGGGTTTGGATAGGTGACGCCATTGGTGCGGAAGGTCATGCCCTGGGAAGGGGCGGCCGGAGGACTCTGGGGCTGAGGGCGTTCGGTGGGCGCGGCGTCTGACGAGGCGGGGACGGTGGTGGAGCGCTTGCGGTAATGCTGGGGATTTTGGGCGTATGCGGCCTGAGCAGCGATCTGCGAAGCAGTGAGCTGGCTCTGCGGAGCCATGGCGGCATCCCTCTCGCGCACTGGGCTCTCCTTCATGGAGCTCAGGCTGGGCTCGAAGTAGCCCTGGGACCGCTGGCGTGGCCGGTGGCCTAGGTGCGCGCTGGCAGCGTGAGGCTGGCCCGGGGCGGCATCGCGTGTAATGGCGGGACGTGAATAGTTGTGGGCAGGGAGCTGGCCAGCAGTGCGCGGCTCTGTCGTAGACGTGGGCGACTTGAGCGACGAGGGCGAGAGGACTGAGGCGGGCAGGGGAGCGCGTCGCTGTTGTTGCTGCTGCTGGGTCGCGTAAGGGCCGTCCGAGTCGGACTCGTCGAGAGAGACGGGGCGGCGGACAATGGGCGTTGCTGGCGGGGGAGAGGACGAGGGCATGGTGGGCGGCGATAGCAGCGGGTGGGTTGCTTTTGCGACCCTGTGGCTGCTGCGGCTTGCAGGGAAGGTCAGGTAACGGCAACGGCGTATCGTGTGGATGCGCGAATGGATGCTATACGGATCGATGTCGAGGGAGGGCGCCTGGCAATCGGGGCTCCTACTCCAGCGCTCGCATGACCGGCATGGGGACGGGGAGCGTAGCAGATACAGGCGGTGCCGTGAGCCAGCAGCATCGAGGGGACGGGAAAGCAAGTGGGTGGAGTGGCAGAACAGTCGACGTCGATTCACACTCCCGTTGTTCCATGGCCCACTAGCCCTCCACTCCACTCACACACGCACACGCCCCGCCCTCGGCCGTGTCATTCTTCTTCTCCCTCACCATCACCACCACCACCGCCTCCTGCATATTCCTCTCCCGACATCAAACATGCCCGCCCTAACAGCAACCTACGCCTCTCCCACGTCCCCTTCCCAGTCCTTTTCCTCCGACCTCCCCGCCCTAGCTTCACCACTCTCGACGGCCGACCGCGTCGCCTACCTGGCTGCGCTCGCATCAGCCATGAAAACCATGCAAAAAGACGTCAACGACTTCCTCACCCAGAAAATGGCAGACGACAAAGCTGCCGACGATGCGAAGGATGAGGAGACGTATGGCGAGGAGGTGGTCGACGAAGACTGAGCGCGCGCACACACACACACACACACACACACACAAACATATACAAGACAATTGCTATTCGATTCATGGGTATATACTATCCATACAGGCCTTCCACACGCCATCACCGCCATCCCGCCGCCGCCCCAGTCGTTCTCTTGCCCACGCTGCCCCGCATGCACCCGCTGTGCACCACGCTGTTGTCCGGGAACACGCGAATCGCACTTCCGCCAAACCGCTTGTGGCAGACGGCACAATGTCGGTCCTCGTCAATCACCACGCGTCTGTTCAATCCACCCGGTATCTTGCGTCCATACTGGTCCACCTTGTTGTCGTTTCCAAGTAGCATGGCTGCTTCGACTGCCACCTTTTCCACTCCCCGCAACCGCGAGACAATGCGCTCTTCGTTGAGAAGCGAGTTTGCATTGCGGATCCGTCCAAAAAAGTACGACTCCAGGTCCTTGACGGGCAGACTAGGCGGGATCAGGTCCAGAGTTGTCGCTGCTGGCAGTCGTGCGCCGTGCTTGGAAAGCAGTTCGAGCGCAGGAGGCCAGTTGGGTTGGTGCGGAGGTGGCGGCGAAAGATACAGGGATAGGAGCACGTGATAGATGGACAGCTCAGTGTCTTCAATCGTCCCTTGAATGTTTGATCCGATCTGTGGTGATCCAATCTTTGGTGATTGGTTGGATGGGAGAGACGATGGTGGTGCTGTGTAGACTTGGTTGCAGTATCTACAGCATGTTAGCTTTCTGTACCCATTGCAAGTTCCACATCTAGACTTACTCCTCGGCCTTCTTGTAGTCCTTCAGCTGGAACACATAGATGGCCAATGCTTGCTTGTGCGATCCCATCTTGCTCAACACAATGGCGCGTGCTTCGTAGTAATCCGCATCTGATAGTTCCTGTCAGTCTCTGTGCATCCCATATGAACATCTCAACTATAATACGTACCGTTAGCCGGAAGCTGCTGAAACACACGATACCGATTGTACTGTGCATTTCCCTTCTTCAAAAACGTCTGCAATCTCTCCCTCCAATCCGCCTTCTCCTCCTCGTTGGCAAAATCCCCACTCTTGAGCCTTTCCAGCAGCAAATCAACCAGCCGCTGGTGAAAGTCGACATTGAGGTCGTTGAGCTCCTCGATAATATGCTCTAGGTACCTAACCGCCAGCTTGAGATCGATCTTCTGCAAGAACTCAAGGACCCGGTCTCTCGGCAGCGTCTCCGCGTTTTCCGTATCCGCAAGGAAGACTTCCATTCCAAGCTCGGGATTCACTTGTAGTGGCCATTCAGCATACTCGAGAATGAGATCGATCAACTCCGGAGGCAATGCCTGTAGATAGCCCACCGTACGCTGTGGACCCTGCAGCGCAGACGAAACCTCCTCGTCCGCCTCGTTCTTGCCAAACTTCTCCAGCAACTCTAGTGCCTGTCGATGCAGCTTCTTGCCGTGCAAAAAGTCAATCAAATCTGCGTACCGGCCCGTCTCGTACAGCTTCTCCTGGACAACGTCTGGCTCACAGAAGTTGGGGAGACGGAACAGCGAGCCTGCTACACTGGGATTCGCAATCATGTACGCCCGGAACAGTGTCGTGTCCACCAGCTGCGCCACTTCGAGCAGCTTGGCCTTCCAGTCTACCGGACCCTGCAGTGAAGTCTCTTCGATGAAAATGTGAAAAGGCGGCTTCTCAGCCTCCAGTTGGCTGCCGCTAGGCGTGGGCAAGGGCTCTTTCAAGTTCCCTTCTGTGTCAATGTAGCGCTTGATCTGCACACGACATTGTGTTAGGAATGACTGCAACGCCCGCACAGAGTCCTTGAACTCCTTATCCGACACTGCTTTGTCAGGCTGGGCTGGATCTGTTGTCCTCTTCTTGATACTACCCTTTTCTGCTGCTGGCTCCTCTTTGATAGCACCGGCCCGGATAGAGGCAGTGTCTGAGTCGACCTTCTTATGCCCACCAACACCAAATCGGCCCATCATCGATCGCCCAATCGTTGCTGCAGCAGGAGCCGATGTTTCTTCAGATTCCTCTGTAGGCTTCTCCCCGTTTGTTTCCTCCTCTTCTGTAACGCTTCCATCACCCTTGATGCTCTCCTCTGGCGCCAAGTTTCCAGCAATCGATCTTGGATACAAGGCAATGACGCGCTCTGGCGGTGCTTTTGCATCAATGAAGAGTTCCATTGCCTCGCGGTACTTTTTCAGGTCGAATAATGCTTGTGCCTTGAGTATCTGGATCTCCCGTATTCTTTCTTCTTTGTCCAGAAGCAGGGTGTCTTCGAGCATATTGAGGAGACTCAGTGCCTCGTCATAGCGTCCATTAGCGACCAGTTCATCAATCTGCGTCTCATAGCTCTGTGCTCCCATTCGCCATATGCATCGATCGCTGGCGACCAAGAAGCCTTTACCCGCATGGGCCAGACTGATGTTAGGTTGGGGTACATGGAGGAAGTTGGCGTTGGGCAGCGGGATGAGCTGTAGCAAGTTGAGTGTATCCGGGTTCCTGATTTCCAAACTTCCTTTTGAAGGCGGCTGTAACGTAAGCATGTATGGGTACGAGTAAGCAATAGTTTCAGGGGCGGTTTGCCAGGGTACCTGCCGCTTGTCAAGGGCGTTGCCATCTGTGTCAATAAACAAGCTGTTCACGTCCTTGGCCAGCAGCATCTCGCCCTCTCCAAGCCGTGTTGCCAGAGGCTTCGGCACCCAGCTGCCCATGCCCATGTATCCCATGCCCGAAGATGACACTGCGCCAAAGCGCGCCCCGCCCTGACTTCCATTCTCTGCGAGTGCACCTGGCTTGATGATGTCTTGCACCTCTTGTGTCTCAATATCGACCATGACGAAGCCGGGGTCCATCCCAGCGACAATTTTGGTGCCCGTAGCCCACGTCAAGCTCTTGACTGATGCAATCAGTGATATCTCCACCGCGTCGCCCGTCAACTCCATGTCCTGCCATGTCCATAGTATAATCTTTCGCTTCACCGCAACAGCCAGATGGCTCACAATCGACGGGATCCCAGTCGATGGATCCTTGACAATGTTGCTAGCCGCAGCAAATGTAGTGGCGCCTCGTGTCTTCTCTAACTTCTCCTGCAGCGCATACGTTTGGATGTCGTGAATCGAGACATAGTTGTCCGACAGTGAGACGAGGATGTTGGCTTCCTTGATAATGGCTAGTTGCTGTATGGGCCGGCGCGAGAACTTCTCTTCCTCCCGGAGAAGGTCTGCAGGCTTGGGCTTGGGCGTTGGAGGCTGTTGCGGTTGGCCGTTCTGGTCGCCATTTTGCTGCTGCTCAGGTTCGACATCTTCGGTCTGGTCGTTTACACGGTATATGCGCAAGGAACCCGTGTTGAGTCCTACGAGCACGCGATCGCCTTGTATTGTTAGCCAAGCGGACCAAATGCTGTATAGAGGCACACTCTACCATATGCGAGGATCGACTCGATCTTGGACTTGTCGCGCTGTTTAAGCTCGACAATAGGCCGGGCAGTGAAGGCAGAGAGCATGATGGCTATAATTCCAAGGGCTGATTCATTGGGCCTGGATGTTGTCGCTGCTATGCGACTGCTGTTGCGCGCAACGAGAGCTTCATGGGCAGTGCCGGCGTGCGCCTGAGCTGGGCGGTCCATCGTCATGGCCACGGAGCTTTGGCCAGGGTCCAGCCACGTGCAGCCACATCACTCGAGCATACCACACGCCGGGTACTGCTCCAATAGTTGATTGAATCGCATCTACAAGTATAACAGACAAGGGTAGTTTTGAGACCAGATACTTGTATTGGTATCCTATCTAATCTAACTAAGGTGCTCTGCCCGATTAATGGGCACAGTAGAGCGGCGAACAGAATGAGAGTGGGTGTTGCTGCATGAGCGAGTGTGTTTGTGAAAAGTGACTTCAATCAGAAACTCTGGAGTACACGATGAAGGAGAGCATTTGCCATTCTATATCATCTCCCCCATTTCCACACCCGCTGACACGCCACTCGAGGTGGGCACATCCAAGGGCCATTCGCCGCCACCACCGTCCCTAAAACGCATGCATAAACAAGTCCCGGGCGCAAGCGCCTCACAGGATCAACTCAGGCGGCGTTCAAAAGAACGCAAAAACCAACCCTTCATCCAGAGGGACGAGGATGCTTCCACCCGTACACAAACACAAAAATGTCGACTTTCAACGTCAACACATTTCCCCAATCTCTCAACGCGATCCTCTCGAAAAACATTGAAAGTAAGGAAAATGGGAGGAAAGCACAACGCTTGTTACCAATCAGCACATCAACCTCTCCCCTTCTCCCCCCAGCAACAGCCGCAAACAACGGGTGCAAAGCATACAGATTCCAGAAGTGGGCCGGTGGGTTGAATGGGAGAGAGAGAGGCGTGGCGAATGAGCGAGTCATATCCAACATATTGCCGGATCATATTCAACACACATCGCTACTCTATTGCGTCTCTGGACGACAACACCATGTACGCCAAGAGGTCACCTATGCAGCGCGGCAAGCGGGCAAGCCACGGCGAGGCGCGTTGCGGCGGTGATACAGCGTCGAAGCGTAGCAATGTTGGCCAAAGGAAATAGAAAGTAGGAGGGCTGAATAGAGAATCGGGCGTAAGGGACCTCGGGAACAGACATACTCAAGGAGATATGCACAAACCTCATCATTTGATGGAAAGACACCTGCGGACGACAAACATACAGTCTCGGAGGACAAGGAGACTGCATGCAGGTTTGACGTAGAGATTGTCGTCTGCGGAGCTTCACTGTCAAACTTCGCGATGAGGGGATATCGACCCAACGCGCAGCCCGCAAGAGAGAGCAGTGACACAAGACAAATAAACACAAAGAAATACATTTTGGCTGGGTATATTGAAAGAAAAAAAAAGAACCAAAATGTGAAATCAAAAACACCGACACATGCGAGCGGAGAAGCAAGCTTCATCAACGCAAAAACATGTGCCCAAACCCCTTCTCTGGAGAGCGTTTCCGCATCATCACGGAGAAGGGGGAAGAAAACTTCAATCGCAAGTTACGGTCTGAGCAATTACGGCTCATCGCAGGTCGGTCAGGTCGATGTTTGTCTAGTAGCGTATCCAGCATTGGACCGGTTGACTCAGAAGGCAAGCCGAAAGGTCAGGTGGTTCAAGGCTGGGGTACTGTTGTTCGACAAATACGGATCTTAGATGAACGGATTCTGCTGCTGCTTTTCCTGTGGATAGGGCGACGGCGCATATTGATTCGAGAAGGGACCAGTACGGTCATCAGCAGGCGAGGGATCAGCAAGCTGTCCATGGCTACTTGTGCGCAAGTGGCCTGGTCGCGCCGATTCAGTCACCGCGTGTGCGCCAACACGGCCAACCTTTTCTGTTGCAGGCTCAATACGACTTTCTTGGTCGAATGTCGAAAAAGGCCGGGGTGCAAGCGTGTAGGGCGCTGCCTTGTTGACATTGTAGTCGTTGGGCACGTATTGCGGTGGCGCGGTAGTAGGGTAATCGGCAGCAATCTTGGACTCGTGGTCCATGGCAGGGTTGATGGCATAAGGGTTGTGTCCTGTTTCTGAATAGTCGCGACGGAAGAGATGGGTTGAGGCGTAGACGAGACCACCGATGGCTACAAAAAGCCAGATTAAAACTAGGGCGGTGGAGATGAGCGCTTCGGTTTGAATACCGCTCATAAGCTTGGCGATAACGCGCTCAACTGATTCAGTGATCTCATCCTTTGCTTTGCCACTGGGATCAGCTAGAAGTTCGGAGGCCGAGTCTGAGTCGCCCTTTTCGGCAAGGGCACCAAGAGAAAAGGTGTCGTTAGCGACGCCAGGGAACTGGACGTGCGCATGCTCTTGTACCCAAGTGAGGCCGCTTTGGAAGCTGGCAATCTTCAGCCCAATCAAGCAGTTGAGCACTTCCTTGATGGGGTCATAGAGAACAGTGCCTCCGAACGTGTCGTTGAGCGTAGTGCTCATCTGGTCGACGAATGCATTCAGAGTATTGTTGACTGCAGTCGTACTGGTGTTGACCCAGGAAAAGACGTCGTCATTGATTTTGCTATCCAAGTCACCAATGGCGCTATTGACACCGTTAGACCATGCTATGGATGCATTGTTGAGCGAGGTGACGACTTTTCCGGCAAAGTCAGCGACCTGATCCGTGAGTTCTGGGGTCTTATCCTCGATGGCCTTGAGCAAAAGGTATTGACAGAAGCATGCAAAGAGGCCAGCGAGACCCAGCGATAGCAGAAACATCATGGGGACGGAGGTGGCGTACGCCCAGGCCCAGCGCATGACAGCTTGTCGACGAGCTGAGCCAAAGCGCCTACCGAACCATAGGCCAATGCCGGAAGAAGTTGGGCGGGACGCAAGATAGACAACGTCCATGCCTTCGTGACCCTCTGCGAAGAGGGCAGCACGCTCTTGCATCTTTCGGTAGCGGCGCATTTCCATCCAAGCCATGGGTGCGCAAACAAGGACAGCGGCAACAATGAGCACACCAAGAGCGATCTTGCGTGCATTGTAAGCCAACTTAATGAGATCATCAAAAAAGTTGTTGAGTGAGTTGCCCTCGGAGCAGAAGGTAAGTGCCTCCTTCTGCGGCACTGGAAGAACGGACCGGTCGAACTCGAATGTGTTCATGCCCTTGATCAACTTCTTGACTTCCTCAAAAGGCGTACGGATAATGTTGTCGGTAAAGTTCTGTACCTCTTTGAAAGTAGGGATTGACTGGTTGAGCTTCTTGAGGCCCTCTGCCATGTCGGGGGGCAGCTCAAGGCTCTTGAGCTCTTTGATCTGCTCATCCAGGTTGATTGTCGGTTTGGTGAATCCCGGAATGTTGAAGTTGATCTTGTCCATGATGGAGTTGATGCCGTCTGAAACGGACTTGACAGCGTCGCCCATTTCTTCGGTGACGGAGTTGATGGTCTCGTTCAATTTCTTGTTGACAGCCTCGCCAATTTCGACAGCGGCGTGCAGACTGCCACTGACGGCAAGGGTGATGAGGCAGAGATAGGTACTCGTCATCATGTGAATGATGAAGAGAACAATCTCTTCGACCCCAGTGACTGTCATTTCGAGCATCGTCATTAGGCCACTGACTGCCTTTTCAACTCCAGAAGCTGTCATTTCGTTGAGGCCAGAGGACATGTAGTGGGGCATCGAGGCCATGGAGCTGCCAATCTTCTCGACTTGGGTGCAAGCACTGAGGGCTTCCCGACGGGCGGAAGCGAGGCTTGAGTCAGTGGTTGCGATGGCGATGAGTAGTCGCACAAGGACGAGGAGCAGGAGAATGGTCCAGCGGTTGATCCATATCTGGGAGAGCCTAGCTCGAAGGCCGAGGTATGGTTTGAAGTTTGGTGTTTGGTTTATTGTAGGTCGTGGTGCATCTTGCGGTGGGTAGTAGTCTCGCATCTCATGACTATCGCCAGCGGACATTGATGGAGGCACAGATGGGAAGGGTTGCTGTTGGTTCGCGGAGGAAGCCATAGCGAACATGTATGACTGCGAAACGCAGGTCTGGTTGAGATATTAGAATGAGAAGAGGCTCGCCTGGCTGGTGGGTTGGAGAGCAAGATGGGCACAAGCGCCGTGGTTGATGTAGGCCAGCTAAATCTTGGATATCTACCACAGGTAGGTGGCGAGGTAGAGAATGGAATTAGGCGGAAGTAGTGAAATGCAAGACAATAGAGAAGAACAATAGAAGAAAAAGAAGAAAAAGACCAACGCTCCGTACAATGCAATAAAGGAAACGAAAGGTGAATGGGTGATGGGTGAATGTGGATTTGGTAGAAGGAGACGGAGCGAATGAATATCTACTTGACAGTGACGAGAACGAACGTACCGCGAGAGAGCGAGGACCAGCAGCAGGCCCCCGACCGGGTACCAATGGCACCGCGAGAAGAGGCCTGCACGACCAGAATGTTTCGGCAGAGCATACAGGCTGCTGAGGCTCAAGTTAGAAGCAGCAGTTTTCGGTAGGGCGGTGGCCCGAATAGGCGCCCGCAGAAGTGGAGCAAGCCACTGCCGGCCAGTCGTTTGCGAGTCTGCTGGCCGGGCTGGCGAGGGCTCGAAACAAGGCGCTAGAACAGCAGCGCCTGTCAAAGTGAGCTGTCTGGGGCTCGAGTGGCTGTCGTGACTTGTCGTTGCAGGTGTTGTCGTTTGCTCCACGGCTTGCGCTCATCGGCGTGCGCACGGTGGCCGGGACGAGGGGCAGACCCCACGCCCTTGTGTTGTTGGCGTTGGTGGCCAGCGCAGAATGATGAGGATCTTGTCGAGCGCAAGGGATACACCACCTCTGGGTGTCGGTCGGTGGTAGAGGAGGTGCTCGAAGCACGGCAGAGATGCGCGTCGCGGCCATTTTGTCCTGTGGCCGCATGGCAACCGCATCGAGGGCCTGGCTGGTGGCGCCGCTATGCCCTGTTTTCTGCGCTTTGCAGCACACAACACGTCATACCACCGTCCATGTCGAACCCTTCTGCTTCAGCCCCAGCATCTTCCTCGTGACCTGCTCGAACTGACACTCTGTGCGCATCTGATGCTCCGCCCATGCTCGAAATAGCCCCCGCCATTATTCTAGAACCAGGCGCCTGCGTTGCCCGAGCGAAGGCCGTAAATACACGACCATGGCTTTGCATCCACACACACACACACACACTCCCTGTTCATGCGTGGCTGCGGCGTAGCGCTCTTGTGGGGAAGGCGCGGCCCCGTGCGCGGCCATCGATCGCTCCTGCCCAATCAACGCCTTGGCACCCACAGAGCCTCAAACATGGCGCCGCTCTGCTTCCAACCTCATCTCTCGTGTCTTGTATACGCTCTTCGCCTGCACCATGTCTTCCTAGGCCTGCCACCATGTCTACCGCCGTGGGGAAACTTTCCTTCACTTTCTACAATATATCTGTCCGTCTGCCTACCCGTCTGTCTCCATGGCTGATGGCTTCTTTCCTATCTCCCAGAGCCACTCGACTTATTCAACTCTACTTCTCTCACTCCTCTTGGGCATACCCAAGTGCCTCGAAAAGCATTCATATCCAATATCAAATCTACAAAGCAGCCATCTTCAAGGGCATATCATGCAAAGTCGCTTCTTGTTCCAGCTTAGACATTCACCCGGTCGCGGTTGCACTGTCTGTCTACACACTCGCTATATCCATGCTCTCAGTGACACACAACAATGCATCCTATCACTTCTCTGCCAGCTCTTTCTTCTGTTCCTCATTATTCTTTGTCCAAGTGCGCCCTATTTTCTGTCTGCACTCATCAATCTCACTCTGTTGATTACCTTCGTCCATAGCGCTGGTCGCTACCTGCCCTTCTTTTTTCCCATTCTCTCGACTTGCCGTGCAAAGTGAAAGGTGAGAGGTGAGAGGCGGCGAGGTGAATGCAGTTTGGAAATTTTCAACTCGCGTGTTTCTGGTCTATTCTGCAGCACTCAGGCCATCACCTTTGTCGCCTGTTCTTACAGACCGCGCGCTCTGTGGCGACAACACCAGCTTTTCCTACCACTTGATATTCTTCTTCAGGCCTATCCATGCCTCTTGTCGGCTAGCCGTCGAAACCTCATTATCAAATCTCAGGTTTGAACCTTTTCGGTGCGCCATAAGACCCTATTGACTCTCACTCAGTTTCGCAAGCCGTAACTTACCCCAATCTCCTTACTGACTGCGCAGGTCATAAGACCACCGCTCTCATCACCCGCATCGCTCTCAACGCCCACATACGCACCGCTAGATACACCGCTCATCAAGCAGGCATATTCATATCCTAGTCTTGTGACCGCTGCCACAGGCTGCTGCTGGAGATACAATACTCCAAACCCACGCAAACACACGGTGTATCTTTGACTCATCACCAATATTTCTTGCTAGGCAAACATAGTGAAAGCAATTATTGACATCAGGCAGCGATCAGTCCCACAAGAATACGAACATCCACTCATCCTCTTCCACACCTAAGAATTTCCCTACTTTTGTGAGGCCCGGACTCTCAGGTATGTAATAGGAATAAGATTGCAACCCATCATGATTCTTTCCAATGACCAAAGGCGGTGACAACTCACTTCATCAACCATTGGCGCGTTTGAGCGTGGGGGGGAGTGTCTTGTTCGCTGTCAGAATATTCATCACATGTTTGGGCAGCATGCTCACATTATCTGCAACATGGAAGGCGGTGAAGCATTTGTTATGATTTCACTGTAGAGTAAGTGAATGAAGGCTAACCCACGAGAACAGTCACAGTGTGTATATCGGATTCCGACATTACCTCACCGCCAAACTATTCACCGTCATCAGATCGTGAGGATATTTGAATACCACAGATTGACCTACCACTTCCCTTCTTTCCCGATACACTCAACTCTTGCATTGTCCAATAACAGTTGCGCAAAGTTTGACGACATTGGAAAATTCCTTTGAGAGCAGTGTGTCACTAGCAACATCTAAGCTTACAGATTTCTATCCAATGGCAGACTCTGTCAATCCCGCAAAGGGCGAGAGGCCATACAAAACCGAAAATCATTTACCGTTCCACGTGGACAAACCTCAGGTAACATCGCAGCCGTACATGGGTAGCGGTGACACCCTCCAAGACGAGTTTTGGGATGCCTACTCCGACCAAGATGATGAGGCAACTCTCAGCGGTTCTGGAAGCCCAGAGACTTTCAACCTGAGCAGTCTGAGTATCACAGATGAACATCCCCGCTTTCACCAACGCAGCGGAGGGGGCCACAGTCATCCCCTCAGTAATCCAGCAAGTCCCGAGACTTTCAAATCGAATAGCCTGAGCATTACAGATGACTACCCTCTGTCCCGTCGAGGCAACAGAGCGGGCCATGGCCACCCTCACGGCAACCCTGCCAGCCCAGAGACCCTCAACCTGAAGAACCTGAGCATCACAGACGAACACCCTCGCTCCCGCCAAGGCCACGGAGTAGGCCCCAACCATCCTGTTCCGCGTGGTCCAAGATATCCCACCGTTAACAGGTACGGTCCTTCTGGACGTAGTTTCCATGGCCAGCACCGACAAGGCGCTGCGCACGCCGGCAGAGGTGGTTCTGCAGGTTTCCGCAACCCCAACCCACCACTGGGTCCCGATGCTCAGATGCATCAAGACTTTCTCACGGTTCGCAACTCGATGCGCCGTCAGTTCAAGAACTCGGATGTAGCCAAGTGGAAGTTCAGCGACTATGTTGCACATCGCGAAGCAATGGCTGCGTCAGAAGCCAACACGCTTGCACATCAAGCCAAGGTGAAGGAAGAAGCTGGAGGGTATTCTTCGGCCATTCCTCCGGAAACTCAGGCCTTTTTGCGTCGTTGCGGCCTCAATGGTAACTTTGACGAGGTTGGCAACTCTGGCCGTGCCCTTGGAGAACAGACGATATGGTGCAAGGATTGGCAGAACGGAAAGGAAGAGGTTGCGCCCTGGCCTTCCTTCGCTGAGATGAGGTGGGAGGGTGACGACCGGGCCAAGACAGGCGTTGGCCGCTTCCTCCCTTTGCCCCGCGAGCCAGGTCCTCCAGGTCTCATATGGAGCCAACTCCCTGCCATTGAGCAGTACCCCATGGACCAGGTATGCAAGATCCCAACTATGGAGGATGTCTACCTACCTGTCGACCCTGACATTGAGCCCGACCATGAGTACCTCTGGAGCAAGGAGTTAGAGAAAGAGATCGACGCCCTCCTGGAATCCTGATCATTTTGGAAGCTTCCAAAGATGTTGATCTGCTGCCATAACCTGCATTTACGTACCTTTGACTGCCAAAGTCACGGTTCACAGGCTCTCTTTCGTCTTGATCAGACTTCTGGTTACGCATCGATTCGGTTCGTGCCTACCCACCGATTTGAACACTAGTCACGACAACTGTCATCAACTGACTTGTGTCCAGCTTCGTTTCCCCTTCACAGGGCTTTCAGGAGCGAATGCTTTGTACCATATCCACTGGACTCCAGATATCTCAACAAGGTTGGTGTACCCCCTCGTCTTGCGTTCGGCGTTTGCATTGTACCATAATTTTCTTTCAATCTTGGAAGCACTTTCCATTACATTGCGACACAGCTCACGGATGAGATGCTGGATCTTTTTCTAATTTTCGACTCGTGGGGCTTGGTAGCACAATATTCAATGGTGTTTGACACCACACTTCTTGCTTTGGAGGAATGGATGGTAGGGACTTGTGGTTCAGCAAGAAGGCGTTTTGTTTTGTTCAATTGCTTCTATCATGGTATCCGGACTGTGGAATCAGGGCAGGCTATTGATGGCGATGGCAGCGAATTCCTCTATTCAAGCTGAATGAGTCCAGGACTTTGATCTTGGTCCATTCTTGTACTTTTATTTTTTTCTCAATACATTCCCCCCTCAGCATGAATGAGGTGTTCTCTCTGTGTTCCAATTAACCATGTGATACCGTCTTTTCTGCTGTTCCCTGAAACCATCAATACAGCATGTCCGTTGTCGTATAAACCCAGTTCCCTCTCAATACCCCTCCCTCAATTCTACGAACCCTGTACTCCGACTTTCTTTTACAATGTCTTTTAACGATTCCACATAACTATAATGATATCCGATCTTATCCTTTCACCACGCTTGAAAACTACGCTCTTGCCGATATTGTCGATGTTCAATCCAAGTCTCCACTCCCCACAAACCCAAGACTGGTAGTGACTTGCACAAAAAGCTACTATCCAGAAATACCATGGTACTCAAAATACGATATAGTACTTCACACCCACAGACCCCTGCCGGATGGTCGCCGGATGTGTTTGTTGTGATCCATCGGCGTTACTGCGGCTGAAGTCTTACACCTCACTCCTTCAAGGTCCTTCTTCTTTCGGAGGGAATACGCCCTGCAAAACGGTACCGTCTTCGCCATCGCATACGACTGCCCGAACCTCTTTCATGTAGCCGATATGCTAGCCCGAAGGCACGGTGATGATGACAACAGCAGTAGATAATGCGGCGGCTTTGGGGTCAGACATGTTGGTGATGATTGATGAATGAATCTCTTGTAGAGCCCGTACTCTGAATGATTGGATTTCCGCAACACAGCAAAAGAGACAAAATAAGTTGGTATCTTCAGAAGAGCAAAGAAATCAGCAACAAGAGTATCTTTTAAAGTTTATCCCAGCAAAGGCAAGAGACAAAAGACGGTGAAGTCCCAAACAACATGACGAAAACATGCAGGGCCCCCCCTACAAATATATCCTTACCATCTCTCGGTGCTGGCCCTCAGTTGAACAACGGGGGAAAGGGGAGGAGAGCCAATTGGAACCTCGACAAGCACGACATTTCATCTCTAATCAAGATTCCGGGCATCGTCGGGCGGGCGCGCCACCAAACAATGCGGTTTGCACCTTTTCTTCCCTCATCGGGTGCCTTACCGCGAGGCCCCCATCATCCCCACTAACGCTTTTGCGTTATCCCCCTCCCACCCCCAAGTCTCACTCAAAACATTCCCTTTTTTTTGCCAGCGCATCAAAGTGCCCTGCGTCATTTCGCGTAAGTGAGTGAGAAGGGCAAAAGAAAAGGCGAGAAGGGAAGAGAGTGAAGGAAAGGAAAGATGAAGGATAGAAATCCAAGTACTTCTTAGAAGAAGAAGAATACGAAAACGTCTAGTAACCGTATGCGCTCAAAAGGCCGCTTGCACGCGCGCCGCATGCTGGCGCCCGAGAATACCGAAAAACCCGCTTATCTCGATCACTCCGGCAATCAAAGAAAGAAAGGGAAAAAAACGGTCGCTCGCAAGGTCCGCATGTCGCACGCCTAAACCTTTGCTTGCATATTACCCTTTTCCCTTCTCGTAGCATTCCTCAATCCCCCCCCCTCCAACCAGACCGTTACCCGCATTCTCTCTAACCCCCCCCCTCCTTCTTCCCACTCTCACGGCGCATCCGCCTCCTCCTCCTCCAAATCCTTGGTCATATGCAAAATCCTAATGCCCTCGCCATTCGGACACGTGACCACATCCTCGCGGCCACTCCTCACATAGCCACACCTCTCATACAACTGCACCCCACTCAGCGTCGCCCCCATTTCCAAGCGGCTGAACCCCAGTGTCTCGCCGGCCTTGCCTTGCTGCGCCGCGCGCTCGCAGTGCCGCATCATCATCGTGCCGAGCCCGCGCCGCGCATACGCCGGCGACGTGAAGATGGCGCGGATGCTGGCGCGCTCGACCGAGGGGTCGCGCTTCGCGGGCATGCGCAGCACAGAGGGCGCAGAGTCCCCCCCGTAGAGGGTTTTGCGGAAGGACCAGCCGCCGCAGGCGCAGATGGTCGTGGGCTGTGAGGTTGGGTGGAGGATGTAGTATGTTCTGTTGTTGTTGTTTTTACGTCAGATTTACTGTTACTTACTTGCCTGGTGCACGAAGAAGGGGTAAGTTTTTTTTTTTGGAGAGATGTAGGGTTGTGTGATGCATGTGTGAATGTGTAGATTGTAGGGCGTATCGTATGCGTGTTGTGCAAATGCGGGCAATACGACGAACCGTGTGGAACGCCTTACTTACTGATCGTGGATTAAGACTGAATCAGGGCCGAAGAGGTAGCCTATTGAGCCGTCGAGTTCGGCTTCCGTGTAGTATCCTTTGCCCAGTGCGCGGAGGGAATCGCCTATCATTTGTTGGAGCGCGGGAATGTCGTCGGGTGTTGCGATGCGGAATTCGTAGTTGCGCGTTGCCTCTTGGGCTTTTGCGTCGGCGATTGGGTCGTTCATGTTTCTTTCTAGAAGGTGACAAAAAAAAGCTACAGTTGGATTGTTAGGGACTCAGAGTATACCGGATGAAAAAAGTGTCTTTGGGAAAATTGTAGTATTGAACAGGCTACGTAAAATCAATTTTTTTGAATCCTACAGATATACAAGAGGTACATGCATGCAATATCACGGCGGTCTTGTGCTCGGCCTTACAAGATGCCCCGTCATCGGCGCATGGGTGGTGAACCACACCCTCTGCTTGCGGCGTTTGCTTCCCCGTCGGGAACCCACCCGTTCTTTTATCAATCAGTCAGCCAGCAACCACACGTGCTATCAATACCGGAGTCTTGGTAAGGAAGGCATTGTACTGCCAAGAAAATCGGGATCTGGACGGCATCCCAAACAGCGCCTCGGGTACCCTTTATACTCAGCCCCCCATCTTCAGTCAGAAGGCATTGCTTTACCCACCTGTCCCCACACAACTCCGGCCGAGGTTTCCAGACGCGAAAGGGGAAAGGAGGTGATGCTCCATGCATACAATACTTATGTGACCAAGGCTTCCACCCACCCACACACTCATAGCGCAGCCTTAGGATGGAAGAAAAAAAAAGGTCGAGAAGCAAAACCCCCTTTGATCATATTGCGTTGTGTGGCAAAACGGGAACTTGACTCGTGCGGTGGATACATGACACCCCTCCCCATTTGAGTCTGCCCTACAACGGCAGATACCTGTTCATAGATTAGCAGCCGGCATGATTGAAACGTCTGTGGCACTTTTTATTCCGGATTGGGAGATGCGCATGCGGTTGCTGGACCCCAAAGATGCCTCATGTTTCGAAACGAACATCGGGGTCGGCACGAAGGAATATTGGCTGCAAGGCGAGTCGTATGCTTGCTACTAGATGAGCCTTTGAGTCTCCTTTTTTGTATGTCTGCCATTGAAGCGGGTTGCTTTGGGATTCCAAATCGGGGCTGCGATTTGTAGTGGGTCGATCGAATGCCGATGGATTTTCCCAATTAACACAAGTCCATGTCGTAGTTTGGCCCCGAACAGAATGTTAGGGTTCAACTCGACTGACCGCAATAGGATTGACTCGGTTCGGTTCCGAAGCACCGTTCCAACGCGACTAAAATGACGCTTTTGAGAGATTTTCCTCAGTCATGTGATCTGGACTCCGTTGATAGTAACACTTGCCAGCGATCAGCTCACCCCCAAATCCATCTATTTGCATCTGCGCTGCATCGATGAACCTGTAAAGTATGCGTTGCCAGTGTTCCGGTATGGTGCTAGTCAGTTGCTTCTTGCGTCAGGCTCTGGGCCTGAAACGACTAATGGCGCCCGTGGTCCCCCTGTGCACTAGCAGTATAGTGGACGGCATATTGGCGGGAAGGTCCCGGGAGCACGTCGATCACCTTTATACAAACGATACTCATATGCAAAAGCTTGTTCTTACTTGTTGGCTATGCAGCACAACCTGTCCAGCCCTTTGGAGAAAAAAATTAACAGTTTTTGTGTAAAGTCCCTGGTCACAAACTGCCTGATGGATACCTCCGACAAAGACATCTGCATTGGATTTGTGAGGTCATTCGGGGAATTCCGAGACAGACATCCGCCTGTCTTGTCAAATTCTTACACTGGCAGCTCGTCAACAAACGCATCTGTAGCCAATGACGGACAGTAGAGACTTCAAGGTGCCGAGGCATGTCAATTTTTCTGAGAACGTACCATGTCTATTGTCAAGCAAGTCAGTGGTCTTGTTACAAGTTCTACGGGGGTGTTTGACAAAAGCATGACCCAGCTGCATGAGCGTTGGTCTGAGTACTCGGTAGTCGGGTAAATGCACTCCTGTGACTGGCTACCAGCCCTAGGGCGTAGGGCTGGGATCGACAGCCCAGGACTCGTGAATTCCCGACTTCTGTCCTTACTCAGGTGCTCCTTCACTACCGTGCGCTTGGCAACCTCCTAGCCGGCTTTTGCATGGCCATGGCTCTCTCCCCAAGACCGTTTTCATGCAGGGTTAGCCAATAGTCCATCGTGCCGTTGAATAGATTGCTCGGCAGGTGCCTTGAATAGTACTGTTCTGTGTGCTTTACGACTAAGAACATGCCGTGCGGGCATGGTCAAGGCACTGATGTCCTTTGCGTCCTGTGAGATCGTCATGGGTTGATTGAACTGGGCATCACCTCCGAAGGACTTGGAGATATAAGAAGGTCGGACGCCAGCTTCTATTGATCATCATCAACAGTTTGACTATCACAACAGAGCTGGTGCTCGCATTCGCATACCTTCGTTTGGTTTCTTGATTTCTCCAGCCTTTCGCTTTCATCTTTGCTTCAAAGAACCAACTTTCAACTCTAGCCAACTTTTTTTCGACCGAGAGAATGTACACCAAATCAATTCTCATTGCTGCCCTTGCTGGCATTGCAGCAGCTGGTCCTATTGAAAGTCGCCAACTCTTTGGAGGTACTGGCAGCAGTGCAAGCGAGTTCAGTAAAGGCGGCTGCAAACCCGTTCTCTTTGCTTTTACTCGTGGCTCAACCGAAATTGGCAATATGGTTTGTAGGCCCATGCAAATGGCAATTTTGACACTACTAACACAGTCAGGGAACTGTTGTCGGACCACCTACGTCGGATGGCTTGAAGAAGGCATTTGGAAAAGACAATGTTGCTACTGAAGGCATCCCTTATGCTGCTGCGCTGGGTACCAATGCACTTCCCGGTGGCACTGATAGCCGATCCAAGGAGCTCCTCAAGTCGACGCTCACCTCCATGGCTTCAAAGTGCCCGGATTCTGTCATTGTGTCTTCGGGCTACAGTCAGGGCGCAGCGGTCAACCACCGCGCTATCGAAGAGCTCGATGCGAGCGTCAAGGCCCAGATTGCTGGTGTGGTGCTCTACGGCGATACACAAAAGCTCCAGGACCGCAACCAAATTCCCGACTTCCCAAAGGACAAGGTCAAGATCATCTGCCAGCCTGGTGATGCTGTTTGCGTTGGTACGCTGGCCGTGTTGCCTGCACACTTGACGTACGGTATCCGGGCCGATGAGGGTGTGGAGTTCTTGGTGCAACAGATTAAGGCTGCTCAGGCCAAGACCAAGGCGAGGAATGCGAAGCGCGAGGCTGAGAATGCCGCAGCGGTTGTGGCCGACAGTGTCAAGCGTGTTGCAAAGGCGATTGTGGCCTAGGTTTGCTGTTGCTGATCGACTGCATGGGTTGGAGGCGCTGCTGTGACTGGGTCACACTGCCATTTGATGAACATATTTCTTTTCTATTCTTCTGTCGTTAGCCTCTTCATAACTTATGAATTCATTGCTTTGTATCGGAACATACTCAAGTTGGAGTCCTGTGTGAGATGAAAGTTGCTGATTGGTCTACTGAAGACGATGTTTGTACCCTGGTAATCGATAAGCCCTTGGTGTTTCCCGACCCCTGCTCTTGACCCCTCTCCACCTCTGCCTTCGTAGTGTGCTTGCAGCCACAACGACTCTCCACTAAGCCCTATGGCATGATGAACGAAGAATGGAGCATATGTGATCAGCACCAATGGCGCTGTATCACAGGCTCATATATTCTTGCCATACATGAGCACTGCCAATGGCTAATCACTACCCCGCATCTGATAGCGCCCTAATGGCTGGGTGGTGGTGTCAGGGTATGAGGCTTGTCGCACGTGTCTCCTAGCTCTGCAGACACGTTGGGATTTATACGGCGGACAGAGAGTAGCGAGATTCCTGTCGACATGTGTACCACGGACTGCGCTTGTTACCCGGCCACTCACATCAAGCGACACCATACTACGCTACCTCACACTGAGCTAGCAGCAGCCTATACCGTCCATTTATCACTTCAAGTATGAGCAGCACCCAACAGCCCGTCCCGGGGACTGCCCCACAAACTGTCAACATGTCTTCCCCAAGCGCGTCGTTAGAGGAAGCAGCTCGCCGGCAGGCGGAAGCGCGCGCCGCCGTCACAGCATCTTTGGCGTCTGTAGGCGCGTCTGTCGACAACGAGATGCGCACGCGAACAGCGGATCTGCATGCCAACTCGGAAGCAATAGCTAAGCAGGAGAAGGAGCTGGCAAAACAGACAGCGGCGCTGGCAAAACAGCGGGCCGAGTGGGACAAGCTATTGCAGGGGGGCACCAAGAAACTGAACGAGGTGGGAGATATACAGAACTGGGCCGAGATGATTGAGCGAGACTTGCTGGTTCTAGAAGAGACGATGAGGCTTGTTGATGGAGAAGGGGATGGCGCGAGGGAGGAGTCTGCGAGCGGGACGCGCAGGTGGTAGTAGGTACGGGATGGTGGTACCTACGTATCATACGCGAGCACCCTGATGAGAGACGGGAGGCGATATTGCAGTTGAGTTGGCGGTGCTTTGATGCATCTACTGGCGACCACCTATACTGAGATACGTACATATTGTCGAATTTTTTATATATTTTTTTTGGCCATGGAGTCATGGATGGTGCAATAGTAGCTCTGCGTTATGTACGGATGTCGTCATGGCTAGGTTGGGGTGATGATGTGGGGTTCTTTGATTGTAATTTGAAGCTGCAGTTGCTTTGAAGGCATGGCCGTTGGCGATGGTCGCTGGTGGCGCAAAAACCCTTTCAAGTGCATTCCATGGGCATCTATAGGTGCGGACGAGCATGGTCGTCTCTCTCGATAGTCACAGAGGGCAGGGAGTTGCTGTGGGATGGTCCCACGCTCGGATCAGTGGGGGGTTCGGGCGGGCTACAAGGGAGCGGAAACTGCTATGGCACTATTACTTTGCTGGCGGCCGCCAGTAGCTAAAGCTTCAAGAAGCACTTCACCATCTCCCCGTTCCTATCCACCTCTCTCACCCACGCTGTCCACCAGCAACCAGGCGCCTGACCAGCAGTCTTTGCGCATCCCCTCCACCAAGAGACTTCTGCTCCCACTGCACTAGATCCACGCCTGCACCGTGGTATCCAGCAGCAGGCCTGCCCGCCCACGCTTCTTTTCCTACCACAGCCGCCCACCCGTTGCCTTGACC